ATGATCCATATTTCCTATTAAAAAAATTGATGATGCATTACCATAGCTCTCTAACCTCTATATCATGGGATTTCTACATGTATTCCTGAATTACTGGCATTGTGAAAAGTGCAGAGTGGCAGAATGGCTCAAAATGATGTGATTACAAAACGGTTCAAGAAAATATACAAATTCAACTGCACAAAGATCAGGGACTCTCACATAAAACAACCTTCACTTGATTCCTACAAGTGCTATACAAAAGCATTTTAAAAAAAATAAAAACAACACAAACTAAATCTCATATTGAGCCAAAATTTTCCTTCATTATTGCGCATTCGTGTTGATACCAGAGCTTAGGAATGTAGTCATTTTGCATCATCATATGATTCAATTTTAGTTACTATGTTGTTGGGACTATTGGGAGTTTTCCGTTACTGTTTACTAGAGTGGTAGGGCTTGTTTTTTACTTCTTTACTAAACTTAGGTCCTGAGATGCCAATGTAATCTTTAGTAGTTTTTGGAGTCAATAATGAAGGAAAATTTTATCAGACTGTTGGCCAAGTTTACTTTTTGGTTGTCTGGGTTTATAATTGCAGTAGGTCCTGAGTTTGCAAGATTTCAGGCAAAAAAAGGGTGGGTTGAATTCAATTTTCATCCTAACTAGTGCTATACAATAGCATTTTTTAAAAAATAAAAACTGCACAAACAAAATCTTATATTGCATTCAGTCCACAAAATCTAAAATTAGGTCCATTTTCGCAAAATTAGTAACCCAAAATAGTAGCACAAACCAGGGTACTCCTCAACGATCAACGAGAGGGGGAAAGAAGACAAGAGTTTTTTTGTCGCCGGATGTAGGAGAAGAGAGAGGGAGAGAGGGAGAGAGATAAGAGCGCCTAAGTCTGACGAAGTCGAAGGTAGGATAAAGGTTTCAATTGTGGTTTTATTCAGACGAAAACGACGTTGTTTTGGTAACGGTCAATAAAAAAAAATTAAAAATCAGCCAAACGCCGCCATTTTATTAAATCGCATGTCATGTGGTAAGCTTCTTACTGTAGAGGAGCCGGACCCTCTCCAAAACAACACATTTGCAGAGACTATAGTTAGGGGCTGATTGGTAATTGGGATTGGGGGCTTTGAAAGATCGGTTGAGAAAAAATAGTTCAAATGACACACAAAATTTATATTTGACTAAAAATTTACAGCCTGGGTTATCAAGCCCAGTCCGCTATTGGCTCGGACCTTAAACCCCAGATCATGGGTTTCATCAAACCCGAGGGGGGTGGTTTCAGATGAGGGTTGACGGGTTCAAGATATAAAAAGACAATTACACCCTATACATATACAACACATGAGTTTGAATTAGATTGATAAAGGGGTAAAATAGTCATTTATATACAAATATATTATCATAATAGTGATATATCCGTGGACATACTAAACATGAGTATGAACTGAATTCAATGTTGAATCAAATATTTGTAAAGAGGGGTTTGTGATTAAAAATGTTTGGGGAAGTCAATTCAAACTTTTTTCAAATATTCATTCAAACAAGTCCTTACAGTATGGATTTAAGAACTGAGGGATCAAGGTTGCGACCAATATTTATTGAATTTGTACAAAAAAAATTAAAATTGGAGGATGAGAGAATTGAAGAAAGAGTTTGAGAAAGAAGTGAGGAGGTAGGAGTCTTGAGAGGAGTGTAGCTTATGCAAAAAATGGCAAAACGATGTCGTCCCACTTTTTTTGTACAAAACGATGTCGTCCCAGCACAGTATGCTGTTAGTTGCTGACTGCATAGAAGCCGGACCCACCCTTTTGCCTTCTTTTTGATCTCTTTGCTGTTTCTTTGTTTTAGCTTCCATGGAAGGTTGTGGCCTTTCCTGTGAAGTTGAAGTTGAAGATTCTAGTCTCTCTGAAAGCCCTTGTTGCAGATCTCACACACAAATTTATCGGTGACCAATAATCAAAAACATGGAAAGTACAGACAATAAGTTGTTCGACAACATGTCCTAAGGTTCTGGACACACACTCTTTGTTTTTAACACACACATACGATCACACACTCACAGCCATACACCCTGCACAAACACACACACATCATCATCCACCCACACACACACACCCACAAATCACATCATTAAGAGTTAGGAAGTATGAATACTTCATTAACCTTAACGTATTCACATTAGATATGATTTTCTTCGAGGATACGTACCGAATGTACACTAAATATATTTAATTATAAATAAAATATATGAATATTTCATAGATACTTTTATACATAAAGAAATACATGTAATTTTTAATCTTATTTGTCTTTTATTTTTGATTTCACATACAATGTAATATATTAATAATAATTTATATGACTTTGAAGACACATAGGGCTTGTTTGGTGGGCATATTAGAAGGTAATTAAATATTGGATTGTACTATTTTTTATTTAAGCGGGCCTAAAACTTTGTTTGGAAAGTAAATTTGATATGATATTAATTTCAAAAACGTATTTTAATCATATATTTTTCGTATATTTTTTATATGATAGACATATATTATAGATGTCTTTTAATATCACCAAGAGATGTAGTATTATTATCCAACTCAAACGTATTACTATACATATTTACTATTATAACCTCCTAAATGATAAAATAAGGTTGTCATCAATGTAACAAACATTGATTGAGGGTATTTTTATTAATTCAATATTAATACGATTAAATAATTTTCTAACCAAACAACTAATTATTTTAAATAACTATTATCCAACGCTTATATTGTGTTTTACTAAATATTAAATAAAATTACGTATTATTTGAATATCATATTTAATATTGTCTTTTATTCATCTGTATTGTATTAGAATGTATTATTTTATCAAATCCATCCATTTTTAATATAACAACTAAACTAGCTCATAGGTGTTTTTCAAGCATTATACGTTATCACATGTTCAAAGAGTATAAATAAGTTGATTACTGTATAATCTTAGTAACAAATACTTCTAAACAAACAATCTTGTTAAATGTAAGTTTTTATTCTTTTAATTAATCACATTCACTCTGTAGAAATAAAAAATTATTGATGTTGTTTATAATTGTTAAAGAATTACTAAAAATTTGTAGCTATCAAGTCATTACATAAGAGTCAATATATATATATATAGACGTATTTTAGCCGTACCTGTATTTTATTTTTAGGATTTTATTGTATCGCCACATCCGAATACTGTTGTATTCATATCTGATATCCATATCCGTGCTTCTAAACTAGCATAAATCACAACAGAAAATTGAACAAACAGTAGCTAAAAACCTGTACATGTATCACACCAACACAATCCAAAAACACCTTTATTTCATTAAAAATTCCAATGCAATATCAAGAGATACAAAGGAAAACATATGGCAGAATTTTCGGCAACATACGGACAGAAAAACAGCCTTTAAAACTCACAAAACTGAGTGGCAGCTCCAACGACACAGAGAATAGGATGGTTTTCCTTCAAATCTTCCCTATCCAATGATCCTTTCCTTTTGTAACTATCAATATATTGATGGATGTGAACAAAGAGAGACATAATAATATGAAAAAAAAACAAAAATAGTTGGTAGAGATGGTGTACAGAAGAAGGTTGCTGATCAAAGGTGATATATAAAATTTGAATCCAAGTTATTGAATCTCTTCTTTAAAAAATATCTTAATTTGGTAAATAAGTTTAAAAATACAATATTTCGGTATATATATATATATTTTTAAAACAGTTTTACTTTGGTAAATTACTCGATGTTTATGAGGGTTAAATTATTTATAATTTAATTTTAAAAAATTATCAAAATTTAAACTCACGCCAGTGTTGCGGAGACAACCAAATACCATTGTTGTTTGTTTCATCTAAATTATGGCCGTATGTGCTCAGAAAAATGTTGGGTAAATGTCATACTCAACTATAGGTAGGTTGTGTTGAAAAACTTACAAAATTAGAGTGTAGGACCCAAAGAAAATAGATGATAAAAAAAAAGGTAAATTTCATTGACACTCCTTTGAGATTGGCTTAATTATAATGACATTCCTGATAGTTTTTAAAATATCATTGTCATCCCTCGTCAACTCATGTCAACTCATGTCGAATTAAACATAGATTGTAATTTTATTGAATTACCCTTTAAGGCTTCAACCCTATTGTTTACCTTTTAACCCCTTATGATTTTTCAATTACCCTCCACACACCCCAATTTAATTTAGAATTTAGTTTTATTAAATTAATATCAAATTGAACTTTAATTTCATCAAATTGACATCTAATTTTATTAATTCAAATATTAATTTAATCACACTAACACTAATTACATCATTTAAACAATAAGTTAATATTTAATTTTATTAAATTACTAAATTAATTTTGTCTAATTAAAATATTCACTTTATTTATTTTATAATTTCATTTCATCAAATTAACATTAAATTAAACTTCATTAATATCTCTGGCATGGATGACCTACCTTTAACTAGACCGAAAAGAGATTAGTTAAAGTTCGTATAAGTTGATTCGGATACGCTTAACTGTTGAACAAAAAAAAAAGTATACGTCTCTACGCCCTTTTTTAAATTAGAAGCCAATTTCCATGGTAGAAAATAGATCAACGACTCGGTCTTCGGTTTAAACAACTCCCGGCGTTGAGGCTGAAGTTGGTATAATTGATAATAAAGGGATCAAGGTGAGATTTAATGCACAATTTTGCCCTTTAGGGGCGAGGACTCTTGTGCATTTTATGCCCTTTTTAAAATTAAAAGCCGATTTCCATTGTAGAAATTGATCAACAGTTTGGTGTTTGGGTTAAACAACTCTCAATATTGTGGATCAAAATGGTATAATCAATAGTTAAGTGATCAAGGTCAGAATTAATGCATAGTTTAGGGACACTTGTGTATTTTAGGTCTTTTTTAAAATTAAAAGCCAATTTGCATTGTAGAATTCATTAACAGCTTTTGACTTATGAAAATTTTCCCTCGGTCCGAAGACAAGCCTCTCTCCCTCTCTCTCTCTCCTTCTTCCTCTTCCTCTTCCTCCTCCTCCTCCTCCTATTTTGTTGATCCGATCTCTTGATTTCAATCAGGTTGCTGCTTATTTTGCATTCCTGCTGTTTCATTTACTTATTTTCGTTTTTCATTTTTGTATTTAGATCTACGAGGATGGAAAACAGTTCAATCCCAGGCGATTCAATGATCTAGATTATAGTTTTGTTGTTTGTTATCTTCTTCCGTGTGTTAATAAATAATATTTCATTCGATTAGTTGTTATTTTCATATCATTATTACATTCATCGTCGTTGCATCATGAAAATGATCGATTGTGAGCTCGGATTTTCTTGTTTTCTCTTTCCTCCAACTGTTTTTCTATTAAATTTTTCTTGACAGTTTAGAAATCACTAGAGAGCTCCAGAGTGACATATTCTCTTTTATTTTTTACTTGCAATACCGCATTCCAATTATATATTGAAATTCATTCACATTGTAGAAGTTTGGATCAACGGTTGATTCTATTCAACGAAGCCTCAAAAGCACACTTTTCATTACTAAAAGTATAATACTTATACACATGCCATATAAAGCAGGTTTCTTTGTACCAAGTGACAAATTGAAAATGCATGCCCGGTTTACCATTTACTTATTGCAGCAGGGCGTCACGGTTCTTACTGAATTTGATTTGTTTTAGAAATAATGTCAAACAAATCCTTAGAGTTGTATTCTTTTGGTGAATGATATGGCTAGTACATATGTGGGAGAAACGAGAAGTAGTTAATTGGATAGATGTGTATGTACGTTACATTACTAGGGAGAAAAAGAAGAATTGGTCATTGGAGTGTACCTGTAATAGACTTATTGTGTCATGTTAATGTCCAAGTTGTCCATTTCCTTTGAGGGCGTGATTTAGAGGAAAAGAAATTAACAAGTATAGGAAGGCTTCATTGCCTACATCTACTTTGGGGACCAACCATGAAAAGTGATTCTGTAGTCATCCAGTTCCCAATTCCACTCTTCCCTCTTAGCATCTGCAAGACGTGACACTGAAGCTGCTAAGTCCACTTAAGTAACGCTTTAAGCTTTGTGAACTACAAACATCATTACACATTGTAATATTTTTAGGTCTTCCACTTGAGCTCATCCTAGCCAGTCCTTCATGTTGGCTAACATATGTGGTAACCTTGCACTGGACCTAGTCACCTGGGACATTACTAAGATTTCCCTACAATGCACCCACACCGCGGAGTCAAACACTTATCTCCTTTAAGTATTGATGTCTGCTAAGGTCAGGGAAAGGGCACAGGATTCCTGAAATCTTAGTGTGTGGCTATGCTCTGGCAAATTCATAACATTACGGTTCTAAATCCTAATGATTGCAATGTACTTGGTAGAGCCGTTCCATATTGGTAGCATACAACCTCCCAAACTAGTAATATCATGTATATTTCATGTGAGCCTTTTCATTCACTGTCCATTGGTTGCTTTGTACGATGCTTTTAACTTGTAATTTAGTGTTGGTTATGGGAGGTGCATGGGTCAAATCTTACTTCTTTGTTTCCCCATTCATGTGCTTAATTCATCATGCATCACACTGTGAAGCAATCTTGAATTTGCATGTCTTACTATAAATGAATATATCAGTTTTCTCTGGTTTTTAGATGAAACATGAGAGCCAAACGTACACTGTGGATGAAGCACTTGTGGCCATTGGCTTTGGAAATTTCCAAATTCTTGTGCTCGCCTATGCTGGGATGGGTCAGGTTTCAGAAGCAATGGAAATGATGCTTCTCTCTTTTGTTGGACCAGCTGTTCAGTCTGCATGGGGTCTTTCTTCTCATGAAGAGAGCTTAATAACCAGTGTTGTTTTTGCTGGTATGCTGGTTGGAGCATATTCATGGGGCATGGTTTCAGATAACCATGGAAGGAGGTAATAATTTTCTTTTTCTTGCTTTTTGTGTATGATATTTGCTTGTCTAATATGTATAATTTGAAAAGATAAGGTTTTTATCATCTGCTGCCTGTCTCGTTTATGACAGAAAAATATGAACCTGTGCATTGGACATGAAGTACGACACAAATATGATCCTTGGAACTCCTAATTAGACACTGCCTGTTTGTAGCTACTACATATGAAGTTTCAATTAGTTCCACTATTCTTTAACAGTTTATACTTTATTAGGAACCATTGTTAGTACATAGCATAAAAGCAAGGAGGCCTTGTGGTTGATTGCTTAGCCATCTCATGAAGAGGGGGGGAAGACTCTTACTTGTCCCTAAATCTTACTTTTCATTTTTGAATATCAAATTCCAATTGAATCATATTTTATTTAATTGTCACTATTAGTTTCTAATGTACTGATGAGCATCTAGAATACGGATTAGACTCTTTTTTTTTTGGCATTTTTCTTCTTTCCAGAGAGCTTTCTTTTTAATGATTCTGAGGTACATTTTAATGTGCTTAATACGTTTGCCTTTTTCCATTTTATCATTTCCTTTTCTACATTCCTTCAGAAAAGGGTTCCTCATTACAGCAATGGTCACTGCTGGAGCTGGTTTTCTTAGCGCTTTTGCTCCTAATTTTATTTCACTCCTTGTTTTCCGTTGTTTGGTTGGCGTGGGATTGGGAGGAGGGCCAGTACTTGCATCGTGGTTTTTAGAGTTCATTCCTGCTCCAAACAGAGGCGCTTGGATGGTTGTTTTTTCAGCTTTTTGGACTTTGGGAACAATTCTTGAGGCTTCACTTGCCTGGGTATGACTATAATATCATGTTTTTAAGTTGTATAGATGCTATTTCTCCTTTATGTAAATATCCTTCATGTTTTGTTGATTAATCTAAACATATGATCTTTGAAGCAAGTAGTTAGAAAAGACATAAATGATGGGCTTTCCAAAGGGAACAAATTTACAACCACTTTTACTTGTCTCTGGCATCACCACCTATGGTTCCTCAATTATTTGTTATCAAATATTGGTTATCGAATGTGAAATGCTTTGTAAATGAAAATTTGAGCAGTTGCACACATAGAAAAAAGGTAACCATTCTCTTATCTAAGCTTGGGTAGTTGTTCTAATGTCCATGCAAAGAAATATATTTGTTGCCGACTTTTCCATTTTTTTTACTGTGTTCTTTGCAGTTGGTCATGCCTACATTGGGATGGAGGTGGTTACTCGCACTTTCTGCTCTTCCTTCATCAATGCTCCTCCTGTTTTATGGTGCAACACCTGAGTCACCAAGGTATTTATGCATGAAAGGAAGAAGAGATGATGCACTAAATATCTTAGAGAAAGTAGCACGAATGAACGGAACAAAACTTCCTCCTGGCATACTTGTTTCTGATTATGAAATTGAGTTACATGGGAAGGATACTGAGTCAGAAGATACACAATTTCTCTCGCCTAGACAAAATGGAGATCTACCTCCTAATGGAATCGACTCTAAAAAGGGAGGCATTTTGTCACTTTCTATGCTTCTTTCAACAGAATTATTTAGGTCAACCCTGCTTTTATGGGTGGTGTTCTTTGGGAATGCATTCTCGTATTATGGCCTTGTTTTGCTGACGACAGAGTTAAACAATGGAAATAATAAATGTATATTGGCTCAATCACAATCGAAAGAGCCCCACGATGTTAGCTACAAAGATGTTTTCATCACTAGTTTTGCAGGTATGGCTGCCTTTATGTTTTGATTTATTTTACTTAATTCAACATGCATTATTCACATTCTTAATCTCATATATTTCATCCCTGGAAGAAAGCTGAGTGTCATTTAACTTTTTTTGCTTCAAGAATTCCCTGGGTTACTTCTATCAGCGGCCACAGTAGATAAACTTGGGCGTAAGCTGTCAATGTCTACGATGTTCTTCCTCTGTTCCATTTTTCTACTCCCATTGGTATTCCATCAGTCCAGAAATCTAACAACAGGTCTTCTCTTCTGTGCTCGCATATGCATTACAGCAACCTTCACAGTTGTCTACATATATGCTCCAGAGGTAAGTAATAGAAACATTATTCAGTAGTTTCAAAAAGCATATTTTTTTCTCAATTTGTCGGCCCCTCCCCATGTTTCTTTTGCTTGGAACCATGGTCAAAAGACCTAGGAACTCAGCTATCATGTTCCTATGTATATAGCACGAGTTTGCTTGAGATGTCTTGATTATCTGCTTATTTTATGCCATCAACTTGAAACTATTTATTGCTTAAAGCTCAAAGAAAACAGCCAATCTTTTTTTTTGGGTGTATGTGTGTATGCATGTTTTCTAGGGGTTTTGGTTGATGTCTATCATATGGTCGGTGAAAAAAAAAGAGAAAAGGACAAAGTAAAACAGTTCTAACATGGGAAGGTTTGAGTTACTCGCTTTTATTTTGTTTATTTCCCTCTTTTTTCCTTTTCCTTTTCCTTTTTTTTTTCCAAATGATTTTTTTCTTTCATTTCTTGTCTTTCTTTTCCATTCTTTATATTTCTTCTCCCTCCCCCCTCTTTTCTGCCCCCCAAGGGATGATGTTTAGTCTATATGTTTGTCTACTGAAACCTTTTTTTTTTTTTTTTCTTCTTGCAAAAACTAAACTGCATTAGGTAAAAGCTAAATGATTGATCTTGTATCTTGCAGATATACCCAACCTCACTGAGAACAACTGGTGTCGGAGTTGCAAGCTCAGTTGGAAGAATTGGTGGAATGTTATGTCCTCTTGTAGCTGTAGGTTTGGTACATGGATGTCATCAAACTGCAGCCATTCTACTCTTTGAGGCTGTTGTTCTTCTTTCCGGGGTCTGTGTACTGCTTTTCCCATTTGAAACAAAGGGCCGGGACTTGGATGATAGTGTATCTAATGCAAAACAAGTTAATGCTGCACTATAATGGAACACTGATTCATGTTGCTTGCGCATAAGAAAAATTCATTTTAATGTTTTTTTTTTATTAGATTAGGCAAGTTTAATGGCCAATGATTTATAATTATCAGTTTCACTTAATTTCTTCTAGATTCCCTTGACTTGTGCTTCAAGGTTTTAAGCTTGTTTTTTGGATATACCTTGATAGGGGTGAGAGGATTCGAACTTTTCAGGTCGTCACATGTGATACTTTGCCTTGGATAGAACTGCTCTTTCAAAGCTTAAATCTTGAAGTTTATCAGAGGGTGACTTCAGATGTGTGCATTTATGTTCTTTAGAAAATACTTGATTGTAATCATACATGCACACCAGCTGTTGACATAATGCACACCAGCTGTTTGATTAATTGCAAATGGCAAGCACCGGACCAAACCACTAAACCATTTCCACACCCAAAACTCAACCCATTGCCAATAGCTTCACAATCACCCCTCCTCTCTAGGCACCAAAACCTCCATTACCGACCAATCTCCCTACGCCAATGCCTTAACTTTCTACCCCCAACCTTCACAACAAAGCGATTAACCCAACAAGCACCTTCACAAACAACAAGGAAACAACCCATCTTAACATACTATACGCAAGTCTCCTATAAAAATGCTCTGGATCCTGAAGTGATCGAGAACATGTCTGCTATCCCATGGCATAAGGAATACTACAACTCAAAAGGAGGTTCTGAAGATGAAACAACAAGCCCCAAAGTCATTGTGTCCAAAGAAGAAGAAACTGAAGATGAAACAACAAGCCCAAAGTCGTTGTGTCCAAAGAAGAAGAAACCAGGATCAGACTCCCTTGGGTCAATGTCATTTTCTTCAAACCATCGGTAGCAGATTCTAGTACTATAGTACTGTAGGTTCGCCTTCCAAGTCTCCCAATGGAGTATTACGACTCTATCATCCTTAGTAAAGTAGGGCTCAAGATTAGCAAGTTGATAAAAATTGATGCTAGAACTGAGGACAAATCTAGAGGGAGATTTGCAAGGCAATGTGTACAAGTTAATACCTGCAAACCTCTAGTCTCCCATGTTTTCATTGGCAAATATAAGCAACAGGTAATAAATGAAGATTTGAAGACGATATGCTTCAAGTGTGGCCATTTTGGTCATGACATTGACGCTTGCAACATAGCAGTAAACTCGCCACAAACGACGCTGAGACAACAAGAGCGACGTTTGTAAATGAGACATTTTTTTCAATCGTCTGTATTGTTAATCCTTTAATTATTTTTTGTGATAAGGTCGATCTTAAGTAAGATTTTATTAATTTTAAAATTTTCGTTATTATTATTATTTATTTTTATATTTAATATTTAGGATAGTTGTTTTGCATGTTTAACTCTTATCGTGAATATTTTTTTTTATTATTTTGTTGTATTATTTTATTATTTCTTATTCTTTGAGATCTATCAATTGTTTATTTGTAGACCTTTAACTTATTTTTCTATGACGTTTTGTTTGGTAGCAGGCATAAAGAGATCATTTTGAGATTCAATTATTTTAAAATTTTCTCATTTTTCAGAAAGATTTTTCATATCCAAATGATTATTTTTTAGTTGTCATATTTATAATACATAATCAATAAATTAGTTCTAAATAATCATATGGTATCTATAATTACAGCATACAACATGAGCTTAAAATTACAAAAAAATATAAAAACAATACAGTTTGATCTGTCACAGTTATTTACAATATTAAAATTTGATATTTTAATTCTTTTTTGATCAAAGTTTACAAAATTAAGTAGATTATATTATGTGAGTTTAATTTAGTGTATTATTTGAGATGAAAAGTTGTGTGTACGAGAGAGATGAAAATTTATTTGTATTTAGTCGGAGATATAAGAGAGTGTGTGTGTGAGTGAGAGAGAGACAGACAAAGGAGAGTTTTGTTTTTACGGTTTTTGTTTTATTGCACTGAGTTTTGACTGTTGCAACAAAATATATGGGCTATATTTTTGGACTCAATTACTGAATCTGAAATTTAGTTGTTAGGGGTACATTTTATTAGATTTTTTTGTGGAGTTTATATATTCATGTATTTAAAAATTTGGACTGAATTATATTATATATTAAAAAATACGGGCCTTCTTTATAATTCAGCCTAAAGCCCCTACCTTTTTGGTTACACTGTTGGGCCGGCCTGAAGCAGAGCCGAAGACTCCACAACAAAAATTTGGTTCATGACTTTTAGTGAAACGAACAAATTGTCAAAGACTAGGATTGAATTGGTATGCAGTACTCCGATATTTAAAATAGTAATTTAGATTGAAGGGAAGAAGTGAGTGTATCGTTGTACTTAAGCTCTGTTCGATAATTATAAAGTTGGACTGTCCCCTTTTTACTAAGGTTTCTGGTCTTTTACTAGGCTAGGTGGCACACCTATGCCTTGGCCTTATTCTTTTTTATGTCCCACCCTTGTTTTCTCTCGATTCATTCTTATCGATGATTTAGCTTGCGTGTTCCTATGATCTAGAAGGCTCTGCCGCTTGCGTGTGATTTATGGATAGGTTGTAGTCAGATCACACCCGTCCTTATTAGCTCGGTTAAGAAGCTTAGTTCGGTCGGTGCTCTTCGAGTTCCATGACTGAATGCCCGATTTATTCTACCGATCATTTGCTCGGTCTGGGGATTTGCTCGAGCCCTTGTCACGTGCCTTTGCCACGTGACTTTGTTAACTCATGCGTAGTTGTTTTGTGTCTCTTCAGAAATGATAGCTTTGTCTCTGTCGAGACTGAAAATTACATGGATGAATACTAAATGGAATTGGATGCAAGACTAGTAAATAACAAAAATGTGTCAAGGACATGGAACCAAATCTTGCAAAAATGTGTCAAAAACGTCTCTATTTTTCATGTATAATTTCTTATATTACGGGTGTGATTTCTTTCGTATGCTCGTTTATTATAGATTATGTTGAGAATTATCTTGTATGATCTTTGGGTGTGTATCGAGTCTTAGTGCTCGATCATATTTTTGTATTTATTTTCCTTTAATCTCAATTTATATTTAACCAAAAAAAAAAAAAGTGACACTCCGACAAAAAATAAAAAAAAATGATCAATGTTTATACGAATAATTACTCAGAGAAAGGTAGGACTTAGATGTTCAGGATCTCAATCTAGATTGGAGAGAAGGGTTGGGGGGACTTTTACACAAAAATTTTAATTACAGGGACTTAAAAATCATTGATTCTTACACACTTATCAGAAGTATTAATCGAGTCGAATTTTGTAAGTTTGAATCTGAAATTGATCAGTTCGTTTACAAAAACAAGAAGGCTCGTTTAAAACTCGAGCCTGAATAACTTGACTATTTTACATATAAATGAGTTGAGGTTTATAAACTTAGATCGAACCTTTTAGACTGATTTTCCTAAACAAACCTAAAAAATTGTTTAAACTCAATTCAATCAATCTCAAGCCATATTTTATTTCACCCAAACCCGAATAACTCGTCTTATTCTCAAAGACTCAAACCACATCTATAACATCTAACAGGCTGTCTCGTAGAGAGGACAAACTAAAAAGGTCTCAAATTATTAACCAAGCGCTGATCGTAGAAGGAGAATCATCCGACAACTATACCAGTTTGCCAACACCGGGGGAGAAGTCTACACCACTGAAAAGTTTTTTTTTTTTTTTTTTATGAATTAAGGAAGCATTTCTCCGTAATGGAGTTGTTTATGATACCAAAAAAAAAATGGTACCGTACTAATATTTATCATTTTTGTGATATGGAATAAAAATAATAAAAATAATTAATACAATAATAGTAAACATACCTACAAAAAATAATAATATTTTTTACTGAATAAAAATATTAAAAAAAAAATATTCCTTCATGCCATAGCGAAGTTCCTCAGTAATTACTAAAAAAGGATAAAATTGGCAGATGTGTGCTGGTAGGTGTCAAGCACAGGAGATAAGTGGGGACCACACGGTCTCTTCAGCACATTTTGTTGATCGTCAAGAAATAAAAAAGGTAAATTATATTCGAACAACTTAAAATTTGTTACTTAATTAGATAAATCCCTCAAAAATAAAAAATAACACTAAGACCCCTCAAATTTTGGTCTGCTATGATATATTGACTCCTAACGTTAAATTCTGACTCACAGTGCAAAACACCCATCCACTGCTTGCCACCGCCATCTTCACCAAATACCACCACCAAAACCCCTACCTTTTGCCCTCCCACAACTTAGACCCTATGCCATAGCTTAGGTCAATATCCATACAAGAATTCAACCATCAAATCCTCAAAGGTGGTGGTATAACAGGAGATCGTTGATGGTGATAGCATGACAAGAAAGAGAGAGACGATGACGGTGGTATGATAGGGGAGAGAGAGACGACGATAATGGTGGTATGTGTGTGTGTGAGAGAGAGAGAGCGAGAAAGATTTGTAAACCCACAACACATTCCCTCCGTAAGCCACTCAATCTATGTACCAACGTCACCGACACCATTCTCCCTCTAAGGCACCTCAACACGGGAGCAAATCCTCTGCTGTTGGGAGGAAATCGCATGACGTGCAGTTAAGTGGAACGGCGGCGTTTCACTTGTTTTTGCAATTTTTTTTTTATTCATTCTTACCAAAACGACTTCGTTTTGGTCCTCCTTCAAATTCCAGATTTGCAGATCAGATCCCATCTTCTTTGTTAAGTCTTGATCAGTGAGGCCTTGTGACATCAGCAGATCCGTCGATCTGCACCCCTTTTTCGGCGATTTTAGGCAACTCCGACGACCTCAGGCAGCTCCGACTTCAGGCACACTTTAGGCTTACCAAAACGACCTTAGAATTATGTTCTATCTGTATTAACAACGTATGTTCTATCTCTGTTTCCTCCCAACAGCAGAAGATCTGCTCCCATACATCTAATGCTTCATCCTTTCAATTTGCAGGGCACTTCGTTAAGAATTTGCTCTAATTTCTCAGCAAAACTCAGATCTCAAGGTTATTTAACTGAAATTTCTCTCTCCTACCTCTCATGCTCTGATTCTTTTTTGAGTTGTTGAGGAAAACTCAAATGGATCTGTGAGATAATTTCATATCTTCTGCTTGTTTCTGGCAAATATGGAGAAGGAAGAGAAGAATCAAAGATCCTGTAAGCCACCAGAAACAGATTTGTTTTTATAGTGGGATAATACGAAGAGACTCAGATGTGTGAGGGTGAGAGACCCAGATGTCTCAGACCTATCAAACAGTGGTAGAATCCGCCAGAAAATCTCATCTCGCTTTCTCACTCTTTCCCAAAAAAAGACCTATTTTCCTCCACCACCCGGTCATCTCACCAGGTACCATCACAAAAACAATAAAATCCCAAACCTTTTTTTTTTCTCCCAAATTTTCCTAGAAAATTGATATAAGAAGAGAATTTCTGATGTGGGTATATCTTAGTTACAAGAATTCTGAGACTCTGGCGGAGAATCGAAAGTCATCAGCATTGCCGGAGAAAGAAGAGAGGTTTTATACGACGAGAGGGTCAGTGGTGGGATTGAAGGAGAATGGGAAGGTTTTCAGTGGAAGATGGTGGAGGACAAGGAGGGAATGATAATAGAGCTCTTGTTTGGCCAAAGTTGTATATTGGATGTTCAAGAAAAGAGAAAGAGGAGGATTTTATGGCCATGAAAGGTTGTAAGCCTCCTCAAAGACCTAAGAAAAAAGTCAAAATCATCCAAAGAACACTTCTTGTAAGTCCTTTCACACATTTTGTACATATAGAAATCCAAAATATATCCTCAAGTTATAGAAGAAAAAGATGGATTTTTTATCATGTTTTCATTGACCTCTCTCTCTCTCTCTCACACACACACGAAGAAGAAGATGGGATCTGATCTGCAGATCTAGAATTTGAAGGAGGACCAAAACGACGTCGTTTTGGTCAGGGTGAATAAAAAAAAAATGCAAAAACAAGTGAAACGCTGCCGTTCCACTTAACCGCATGTCATGCGGTTTCCTCCCAACAGCAGAGGATCTGCTCCCGAGGCAGCTCTGACTTCCGGCGATTTCAGGCAACTCCGACGACCTCAGGTAACTCCGACTTCAGGCACACTTCAGGCTTACCAAAACAACCTTAGAATTATGTTCTATCTCTATTAACAACGTATGTTCTATCTCTATTTCCTCCCAACAGCAGAAGATTTGCTCACATACATCTAATGCTTCATCCTTTCAATTTGCAGGGCACTTCATTAAGAATTTGCTCTAATTTTTCAGCAAAAATCAGATCTCGAGGTTATTTAACTGAAATTTCTCTTTCCTACCTCTCATGCTCTGATTCTTTTTTGAGTTGTTGAGGAAAATTCAAATGGGTCTGTGAGATAATTTCATATCTTCTGCTTGTTTCTGGCAGATATGGAGAAGAAAGAAAAGAATCAGAGACCCTGTAAGCCACCAGAAACTGATTTGTTTTTACAGTGGGGTAATAGGAAGAGACTCAGATGTGTGAGGGTGAGAGACCCAGATGTCTCAGACCTATCAAACAGTGGTAGAATTCGCCAGAAAATCTCATCTCGCTTTCTCACTCTTTCCCAAAAAGAGACCTATTTTCCTCCATCACCCAGTCCTCACCAAATACCATCAGAAAAACAATAAAATCCCAAACTTTTTTTTTTCTCCCAAATTTTCCCAAAAAATTGATATAAGAAGAGAATTTCTGATGTGGGTATGTCTTAGTTACAAGAATTCTAAGACTCCGGCGGAGAATCGAAAGTCATCAGCATCGCCGGAGAAGGAAGAGAGGTTTTATACGACGAGAGGGTCAGTGATGGGGTTGGAGGAGAATGGGAAGGTTTCAATGGAAGGTGGTAGAGGACAAGGAGGGGATGATAATAGAGCTCTTGTTTGGCCAAAGTTGTATATTGGATGTTCAAGCAAAGAGAAAGAGGAGGATTTTATGGCAATGAAAGGTTGTAAGCCTCCTCAAAGACCTAAGAAAAAAGTCAAAATCATTCAAAGAACACTTTTTGTAAGTCCTTTCACACATCTTATACATATAGAAATTCAAAGTATATCCTCAAGTTGTAGAAGAAAAAGATGAATTTTTTATTCATATTTTCTTTGACCTCTCTCTCTCTCTCTCACACACACACACACGAAGAAGAAGAAGATGGGATCTGATCTGCAAATCTAGAATTTGAAAGAGGACCAAAACGATATCGTTTTGGTAAGCGTGAATAAAAAAAAAATTACAAAAACAAGTAAAACGCCGCCGTTCCTCTTAACCGCATGTCATGCGGTTTCCTCCCAACCGAAGAGGACCGCATGTCCTGCGGTTTCCTCCCAACCGAAGAGGATCTGCTTCCACCTCAACACCCTTGCAAGCACCCCAGCCAAAATCAATCGCAGTTGAAACGCCAACCCAGCAAAAATCAATCCTTCCAATGCAGCACCACATCGTTGTGCCAATCGCTAAAATCAATCGCAGTTGAAATTAACACCAACCCAGCCAAAATCAATCACCGCCAACATCAACACCAACCCAGACAAAATCAATCACAGCTGAAACGCCATGGACGCCCCACCATCATTCACCCATGGTGTCAAAACAGTCCTACCACTACAACGCGACACCGTAGTGCCAATCGCCACCAAAGAATTGGGTTTTGGGAAAGGGGTTGCAGCGGGGTAGGGAAGACTATGGGTTACAGCAGGAGGGTTGGGGGTTTTGGAGAGTACAGGAGCAGGAATTGAATAGAAAAATGTGACCTTGACGCTGACCCGCTTAACGTCTTTGACGAATGCTCGAGTTGAATCCACTGCGTTCATGTTTTGAGAAAACACAGATAGATAACGACCTTCGCAAGTGACTCGGCCACCACTTTTGTTGTAGGGTTTTGCAGCCTTTATGGTGCTAGGTGAATTTGGTAGGTAGCTGTCAGCTGTACTGTTTAAGTATAAGATGGGATGATGGCAATGGTGTTATTGTTGCAGGGGGGAAGAAAGAGGAGAATATATTTTGGGGGCTACAACTTCGGGTTGGGTTTGGGTTTGGGTAGCCAAGTCGAGGGGTAGACGCTAGTCGATTTTGGAAATATTATTTGAGTTGGACATGATGATAGTTCCTGACAGGGGTCTCAGTGCAATTTGTTAAATGTGAGGGGTCTAATTATTTAAATAACAAACTTCCAGGAACCTAGATGTAATTTACTCGAAAAACAAACCAAGGTCAAAGTTTCTAATTTTGGAAAACAATGAGAAAAATAATAATAAGTGAATATCGCAGCAACTATGGAAGGAAAGAAAGAATATTAATTCCACTTTGTACAATTATCTCAAAACTAAGGGGGTCCAAATGAAAATATTCATTCCAATATGGGGTTCAAATGCAAAAGTTAAAGACTATGATAAGAATATTAAAAAGGCATTGTTCTTAGTGTATTATCCGAGAGGATACCCACCAAATTAATAAAATTACTTTAAATATCAACAACTTTGGAATGGCCGCCCAAACCCATCGTGGATTATTGGCCAATTTTTCAAGTGGTAAAAAATAATCACCGGAAAACAAAAAGGTGTCCTTTCAAAATTTTTCTTTGTAAAACACAAAGTTTTAGGGGATTTTAGATATTGTAAGGATAAATCGATCAAAATTAAAATATAAAGAGAATGTATAAATTCGATTTTTCAATAAATAGTTAGTTACGCGCTAAGAAAGCCTTGTCAATGCATTCATATTTTGAATTACACAGAACTCACTATCTTTTCAATAACAAGGTCTTCGTCTAAAAGATTAATCCAAAACGAGTGGTTCATACCGCTAATTGTCCATCTCTTTCAAGTTTAAGTCAAGTAAAAGGCACGGTGCAAATAGTTTTTTTTTTTTTTTTTTATGATATACCAAACAAAATGGATGGTCCTAACTCGGCTTTGGAAGTCGCACATCTCATCCTGACGAAGTTGAGCACAAAACTCTCTCACCTCACCTCTTTTGAGCTGTTATGGATGTAGAAAGTTTTTGACAAAAAAGAGCTTCGATGGACCTTAGTGGTGGGGGAGGGGCCGTCGGTGGTGCAACTTGGAGAGTAAATATTCACTGATAGTGATATTGTCATCAACTAACTAATAAATGCGTGAATAAATTTTAAAAAATTTAGTAACTATTCCCTTATTGTAATTTGCTAATTACTTTTTATAGAAAGTTAAACTAGTAATGCACGACGTGCGTTACATGTAAATAAATTTAAATAATATTTTCTTATAAACGTCAATCATATGTGTAATTAAATTAAATTTTGAATAATTAATTTATATTTTAATTATTACTAAATATAATTATTACTTTATTCTATACGTTTTTGAGTATTCAATCTATCATTTATTTAAGAATCACTTTTTTATTTTGTTAAATAAATTGATTAGATCGGTTATAATATTATTATGTTATTACATATCGAAAAATAAAATATAACACATATTTGATTGTGAAATTTAATCTGGTAACTACATATGTATAATAATTTAACATATATATAACTTTACTTCTTCATATAAATATAAAAAATTATATGTAATTGTATTACCAATAAAATGAGTTCAAAAGAATTTAAAAGTACTTATAAAAGAGTTTAAAATAAGTTAAAAGTTAAATAAGAGTAAAAAATAAAAAATTAAATAAAAATATATAAATGGGTATATTTGACTTTGTCATAATAATTAGATATAAAATAAGAAATTAAAATTTTTTCATATGTTGGTAGATATAGATGTTGATACGACTAAATAGTTTTAACGTTATATTTACTTATATGAAATATTTCCTTGGTTGTGTAGATGAAATTGGTTTTTTTTTATAATTTTATTTGGTTTTTCTGGTTTTTTCAGAAGGGCAAAATATATATACTTTGAAGTGAAATGTGACGACTTTATGAACTTTTTTGTTAATACATTAGCAGCATGGAGATAAAAATTAATTAAAGATCAAAGCACAAAATAGGATGGGTGTTTGTATAATTTCAGAAAAAAAAGTGGAGGATCCTTGAAATTATCACAAACTTTTGGGGGAAGTTTGTTATTAATATAGTTTATCCTTTTACTACTTGGTTTGATTAAATCAAAATAAAAAACAGATTCAATTAGATTAGAAATCAAACGGTGTACCTTCTTCCTCTCTCTCTCTCTCTCTCTCTCTGTGTTCGTGTCTCGTTCGCTGAGATCCTCCTATTCGAGGCAAGCACTACACTAGACCATTCATGGCTGCAGCTCAAGTACAATCGACCGATCGTATCATCCCAACCCCTACTGGTGTGTCTCTATAATTTCCTCTGTGTGTGTGTGTGTGTGTTTTGTTTGGATACATATATGTAGGACGACAAATTTCGGTGTTTATGAAACGGAGTGTGAATAAATAAGGTTTCACTTCGATTCATGGGGGGTTTTAAGTTGAATTGCTTGTTCAATTTCGTTGTCTCATGCTTTTCCCAAAATTGTTGTTTGGTGAAGTCAATGGTTGAATTTAGAGGAGATCATACTTTGTTGGTCGTAGTTTGCCTAGTATAGTTTATGTGATTTTTATGAGAGTAAGCATTCTTTATATCCTATGGATCGTAACTAATATTCTGTTCTTTCATGACCTGATATGCATCTTGATCTAATTTGAACTATTGATTTAGTTTTGTGGTCACGGGATGTAATTCTGTGTTTGGATACCTATCTATCATATTATTTTTTGGTTTTTATGATATAGTGCCATTGTCGAGTTTGGCCCCCCTTAGTGTAGAGTGGTGGGAGGGGTGGACTTGGCAAGGCTTTTTCATTCGACATTATGTGTATAAATTAGCTACCCGCTTGTTCAAACCCACGACTTTGCTGCTGCGGTTTTTAGGACTTAGGGTTAACATTTTATAGCCGTTCTATGAAATGGGTTGCTTTTATTTTTTCTATAGCAGAATGTTGTTACTTGTGGATTATAGTTGGCCACCGTCTTCAAGTTAATTAGTTAAATTGGCATGTTTAATAATTAAGGGGACAGATGGATGTATATTGATGTCACTGGGTCATAGTGCCAAACTGCCAATAGCCCTTAATAATGGGGATAAAGGTGTAATCTGCACTAGTAGTAGCATCTCAATGCCTTTCGACGTGGTCACCATTTTGTATATGCATTCATGTATTTCTATTTATCATGTTTGCATGGAAGTGCACCTGTGGATTTGTGTGCACAAATATTGACTCAAGTTTTAAAATTCCAGAATTAGCTTTGCTTTGTCAATATTTTGTACCGTTTGATTTGTCAATATTTTTAAGACTATTGTCACTGAGCATACTGATCACGGATGCAGAAGAGAACCCTGCGGAACCAGATGATTTGAAGGAACAGGTACTTGTGAATCCATTATGATGATATTCTTTTCTAGTCACTGTCGAGTTTTGACTAAGTTCAAATGAAACTTCTTTTTGATAATCATCTGTCCTGATAATCTGTTATCAGTCTCTTTCAGTGAAAAATGAGAGGTCGGTTTCTCCTAATTCTTCTCAGGATGCTGCCATAGGTCATTCAAGGGACACTGCTGGTCAATCAGGATCTTTTGGAATGGCTGGAGATCGTAGTGTGTACCCACCTAATGTCTATGCTCCTCATGCACATGCTGTATACTATAAAGGTCAGTTTTTTATAATATGGGGTTTCTGGGATGCCTCGGTTCCGAAGCTGCCTATTTTTTCTACATGGTGTCAAAATTTTTCAGAAAGAATATGGTTTTATGTGCACAAAGCAAGCTATGCAAGACCTGACTGCTTATAAGATTAAGGCCTAATATTCTGAGTTTGTACTATGCTGTTCCAAGAACCACTTAGGGATCCAAATGAAAACATTGAATGACTATCCATTTTCTTAGTGTATATGACAAAGACAATTTATGGCAGTGACTGGACCAATTTCATTGTCTATTCATGGTATTAAATTGTAGTCAGACTTCAATTTGCACCTGCTTGATGTCGGATTTTGTAGACGAAAACCATTTCTCCCAAGTGCTAATTACATGTGAAATTATGTACCAAGAATTATTGGGAGTTGTGTGTGGAAATTCTTTTTCTGCACACAACTTATCATTGATGTTGATGGCAATTTTAAGTGACTCGAAATTCAGAATTATTTTGACAATTCTTGAACCTTCCTCAGTTGAACAGATTGTGGAAATTTTATATTACTTGGATTTGCACTTGGAATTTGAGAGCAGTGTGTTCCATTTGCGTACGGGTGTCCTTCATGCTATTCAGATTTGAAGATATGGCATGATATACTCGTTTTGGTGTGGGCATGTCTGTACCCGTCATGCTCACTTCAATGCTATATTTGGCTTGCTTCCCCTTTGGGAGAGGCTGGCTTTGGATTTATCCTCCACTGGTACATAACCTGCAATATGTTATTTTTCTGGAAATTGCTATCTTTGTCATTTTGTTAGGTACTGTGTCTGCTCTGTAGCCTGCTAGCATATATAACGTTAATAAGTCAAAAAAAAAAAAAAAAAAATCCTGTCATTGGGTTGGACTACTTGTCTACCTGTGATTGGTTTTGTACCACCTTTTAAATTTTTGCTATTAATAAAAGTTCCCGTTCTTATCAAAGAAAAGTGTAGGCAAAAAAGGTCTGCAATTTACAGAAGAAAGAGTTGCTATATCTTTTTGTACTGCTGAAAATGAGCTCCACTGAGCTGAGCTCGTAAGAACCAATACACCTATGCTCATGCTCAGTGTGCTTGTTAGTTACTGAGCTCACGATACAAGTGTAGAAATTTCTTCTAGTCAATCTCATTCAGCCACTTGTAAGCATCACATTTTTTATCCAAAGATTTTAATGCTTGAAGAATCATTCTGACAAGAAACTTCTGACTCTGTACATGCATTGTATGACATTTCATGTCAGCTGCCATCTGGTGTACACAGGAAATCATATGCTGCAATGTGGCTTCTTCTTTAATTGAAAATTTTCCTTACATGGCAATAACTTCAAAATTCAGATGTTCTGAATGCCCTGTATATGTATATGCCAAACCTGTCATCTTGTTAACATCTGAGCCAAGTATGCTCGAGCTCAGCTTGTCTCGTCAATGAGCTCTCAAGCTCATTGGTTCCTTTGTTAAGTAAACATTCATGTACAAGTCTAATATCAGCTGAGATCGATCTGTCCATGAAGAGCTCATTTTGCAGCCCTACACTTATAACTGGAGTCATCAAGTTATGCACTTCGTTACCCATCTTAGTGTCATGTGATGCATGTTCGGTTTTCTTGCTCTTTCAGATCTATATAATTTTATTTTTCATAGGACCAATCTAAATAATTTAGATTATGGTAGTCAGCTCTAGATTAATTTTTCTTGGTTTTTGAAGATACCTATTGAGTTGGACTATGCTTTCTATCACTATTTGAGTCTGCAGCCGTATTTGAAGAATGCCAGTGATGAAATAGAACTTTGATGATTTGGCCTAATTGCATCTGATTGTAGTATTTGCATGTCATTGTTAGCCGTTACTGTGCTCAATTTAATTTAGTGATATTGATAAAAGGGATCATTTTTGTCATGTTTGATGTGACTCCAGGTTATGAAAATGGTCCTTCTGAATGGGATGAATACCCTCGTTTTTTTAATGTCGAAGGTTTGGATATTGGATCTCCTGTAAGTTATGACTCTTGTGCCTCAATCTCTACATGATCAATTTTTGCAGAGTAACTAACAGTACTACTTTCCCACATTTAATCTTTTCTTAGGGCATGTACAACGAAGTTTTTCATGCTGGTTACAGCTACAGTCCACAGATGCCATATGGACCATATTCGCCAGTCACCACACCTTTGCCTTCTGTTGGGGGAGATGCTCAATTATACTCCCCGCAGCAATACCAGTTTTCAGGACCACCATATTATCAGCAGTTAGTTCCTCCTAGTATGCCATATATTACTTCGCCAACTCCCGTTACGCAACCAGAGCTGAACTCAATAGCTACTGCTGACCAACCAGTTGATGGAATGCTTTATGGGCCGAGACCTGGTTATCCCTCTTCTCTGGGGTCTTTTGGAAGAGGCAATTTGTCTGGAAATCCCGGAAGTCTTGGTTTTCAGGATTTGCAGCAGGGTTTTGATGCATTCGTTTCTGGTGGTCTTTGGTCAGATTGGCCAAAATCCTCAGACAGACAGAGGTCTCTTACTCCATTATCACCGTCAATATCTCCACAACCAATTGGCAGTTTTGGGTCATATGGGCACAATTTTGGAATGGTTTGTTCTTTTACTTGAGCATGCCTTGTAACAATTATGGAAATCCAATGCATGCTTCTGACATCTCAATCTGTTTCTTAATTATATTTTGTTCTTTTCCCCCTTTTGGAATGATCTAGGTTCAGAACAAGCTAGTCTCTAGTAACTGCCAGAAGGTTTTGTTGTTAGATTCAGCAAAGCCTCCAGAGAACTCTGTCAGTACATTTCTTACTGTTAGGAAGGAATGCAGTAATGTTATGAGTATCATGAAGTATGGAATTTCGATAGACTTCGAAAGTTCGGAATATTGTTGACATGCTTTACTCACCTTTTCCTTGATGCTAATATTCAACACAACCATTTATGTACTTACCAAACCAAAACTAAGCCTTATGTTCCAATCGTTTGGGGTCGGCTATATGAGTCCGTCTTCGCCATTCATTTCGATCATACACTATACGCTCATTTAAGATAAATATTTTCATATCTTTTCTCCCCAAAAAAAGTAACAGAATCTTGAAGTTGACTTGATTCCATTAACATGTAATTCATGGGTTCCAGACATTAACTTGATTCCATTAACTTGTACTATGGGATGTATTTCATATACTGTGCAGCTGTGGTGCTTGTTAGTTTCTATTGCTTTGAAGCCTTTTTCTTACTCTTTATGGTTTTTGCTACTATCAGCTACCATTTTCGTGCCCATATATTTGGTATAAAATTATGACCGACATGAAGCTATTTTGCGACCAGAAGTTTTAACTTGATGACCATATATGAGATTTATATTGACTATAATGTCCTGACCTGTTTCACCCTGCTTTTTATTTGGGGGCATATAAAATGGAAAATAACTTTTATATCTTTAATGTTATAAGGGTAGTCACTTGTGCAAATAATGCCAAATGTCTATACCCATGCCACCTCTCCTAGCACCCTCGATCAAGGGACTGAACTAAATCTATGACTTGACTTTGATTATTTAAAGCCCTTTTTACTTCTTAGCCTTCACTTAAGCACCAAGGAGTCATGGCTTTACTTGTGTACTCTCTAAATTTGTCTTCTTCCACAGGCTTCTCAGCAGCAAAAGTCATTCTATGGATTTGGATCTGGTTCAAACACATATAGCAGAGGCTACCGGCATGGTGGTTTTAATCAAGGCTCTAACTTGGGAAGTGCATCCATTTCCAGTTTGGGAACAAATGGCCGAGGCTGGCTTACTCTTGACAATGGCAAACGTCGTGGTAGGGGCAGCAATTCTCTATGCAATTGTAGTGGCACACTTGATATTCTTAGTGAGCAAAATCGTGGACCCAGGGCATCAAAATCAAAGAGCCAGATTGTTGGTGAAAATAATCTATCAGCTGATAGTAACAAACACAGCTCATCTACTGCAAAGACCCTCGACGAGTCTTACAATCGACCAGATTTTGTCACGGAGTATGAGGATTCCAGGTTTTTCATCATCAAATCATACAGTGAGGATAACGTCCACAAGAGTATCAAGTATGGTGTCTGGGCGAGCACACCTAATGGAAACAGAAAACTGGATGCTGCTTATCGTGAAGCAAAGGAGAAGCAAAGCACCTGTCCCGTGTTTCTCTTTTTCTCTGTAAGCTCATTGTTACTTATATTCTATTAGAAAAGAAACTTAACACTGCTTTCCTTTTCAATTGTCGGCCACAACTGTTAGGGTGACAGTGTATTATTATAGGTGAACCATACAAAATACCTTAGTTATCTGGGCAGTGTAGTGATAGTTTATAATGATGTTGATAATTGAACTTTGTAAATGCAACACATAGGCATATGAGTAGATACTGAGCCGCAGGAATAGGGATATTCTGAAATCTAGACGGTAAACTTTGGGGTCTGAAAGAGTTAATCTTAATGCAAAAACAAAAGGAAAAGGTAAGGGTTAGTTAAGGCTTACTTGGGGTAAGGTTTTGGTAATTAAAAGTAAAAGGTATGAGGGCTCTGCATGTTTCTGTTTGGTGCTGTGAATGCTAACATGTGAGCAGTATTTTTGGGGGTTTTAAAGTTCAATGGGTTGAATATTTCTAGAAGAGAATAATTGGCTTTGCAATATGGGATTTATGTGGATGAAAGAATGCTTATTCATGTCTGCTCAGAGGTTTATTGGACAATACAAGAGCAAATCCTTGAAAGGAGATAGAATATCAGAAAGAACCCTCACAAGGTTTAGAGACATAACAAATTATCATCAAAGCAACATTCTACATTATGTAAATCCTAATGAAAGACTTTATGAACTACCACAGACACTTTTTGCTTCAAGTTTCCGAAGCCTATGAATGTTTAATCAATAAATAGATGTTGCATCATACATGAATATGTGTGTGTATAAGTGAATATATATAAACATTTATAAATTATATGCATGGTATGTTTGTGTGGACGCATTTGCACACTTGATGAGCCGATAAATGAATTTGAAGGCTTTCTTTGCTGGTACTATTTCCATGAAAGCAATGTAGTTCTGCATTCTATTTTTTTTCCCTTCATAATTCCCATCATACAGTGGAAATGGAGTTTTATTAGTGTATGTGATGGCAGTGAGAACTTGGTCCGTGCTTTGTTGGAGCTGTGCCTGCGTGATATTGATTATTTCTGCTGTTGTGATTTCTAAAAATGAACCAAGTTGGGTGGAGATTGTTTGCCCCACTTGTCATGAAGACAGACACATGTATAATTAGCATCATTGTTGGCCAGTCACTGGCCTTGAAAAACAGCAGTTGCACTAGGTCACTGAAAGTGAACAAAGATGTTTTTATTGGACGAGTGGACATTGTTTTGAGCTGATACAATGAGGTCTGCGATCCTGGAAAATGATTTTAGATGATGGCTCTAATACAATGAGTTCAACTTTTTAGGTACTAGATGCTGGCTTTGGTGCTATAAAATTTGAGAATGTTGTTGTCCCTCCAAGTGTTTTTAGATGATGTTCTACCATTTTTTCATTTAGTAACTGGCATTTTTTTGTCTTCTGCAGAGCTGTTTGCTTTACATATGTCCACTGTTAAACTGACACAACATTGAAACAGCTTAAGCATGTGTTCAAGTCCTGTCAGAACTTAAATTCTTAACTAGTGCTATGATTGCTGCCCTTGTTGCTCATGTTACTCGGTTTTTTCCCTTGCCCTTTTTTCAATGAAGTTTTGTTTGTTACAATCATATACAGGTAAATGCTAGTGCACAGTTTTGTGGAGTGGCTGAAATGGTTGGACCTGTAGATTTTGACAAGAGTGTGGATTATTGGCAGCAAGATAAATGGAGTGGACAGTTTCCTGTCAAGTGGCACATCATTAAAGATGTTCCCAACAGTCAGTTTCGTCACATAGTGCTTGAAAATAACGACAACAAGCCCGTAACCAACAGTCGAGATACACAGGAGGTAGGAATTCATTTGAGAGTTCTGTAAGTTTATAAATCTTTCTATGATAATGCAGAGATCCAACAAGCATACATTGTTGGACCATAATTCAAGCACGGTTGCAACCTGAGTTTGTATCCTCTTTCACTTGGATTAGCTGCAGTTGGCATCGTGTACCCTAGTCCATTCGTCTTTTTGTTTTCCCATATTAAATATTGCCCATGAGTCTCTATTTGGTTCCTAGATCCATGACAAGCCTCTCTGCTTCCATATGCCTGAATTGAAACTTTGCAGGTGAAATTGGAGCAAGGAATGGAAATGTTGAACATTTTCAAGAATAGTGAAAGCGATATGTCCATCCTAGATGATTTTGACTTTTATGAAGACAGGCAGAAAGCCATGCAAGAACGAAAGGCCAGGCAGCAGGGCAGCTTGGTGGATGGGGGGGTAGTTGGAGGGAATGAGAGCAGAAACGTCGTTACATTGTCTAATGATTTCATGAAGCAGATGTCGAAGAGTTTTGCTCAGGTTGTCCGCATAGAAGGGAGTGGTAAAGAAGCTTCGCCGACTGATAGAGCTGGTTCTGTGACAGATGTATCCACTGGCACCGGAGTCAGGAATGAAGATGCTACAACCACCACTGCGCCGAGTGCTCAGGCTACCTAGGCAATTATTACAATTCTTGGGCAATTCAGGCAGGCTTTTTAGTGTATTGGTACACACTTTAATTCTACTTTCTAGTTTTTAGATATACTTTTTGAGGTAGGGTTTTTTTACGGGTTCTTGGGCTTCATGTATCATATAAGACTGCTGAGTGCTGCTTTTTGATTATAATTCGCAGTTTATCTGTTTCATGTTTTCGCTTTGTTTTTCGGGTGAAATTCTACTTGGAGTTTGTATAGTTCTCCATCTTGGCAGGCAGTTCAATAAAAGAAATAAGGGAAAGACTCGTATTCAGTAATGCATCCAATTCTATCATGGCTCATTTCCTTAGTTGTGAGTCTTATGACTGATGTTCCATTGAAGTACTGCGAACATGCCCAGATTAGTACTTTGCTGTTGCTAGATGCCTGTGTACTTTTGTTTAGTTGTGAAATCTGTTGGAAGAAGCGACAGTTTGTTATGTATGCTGTTATGTTTTTTATATACAGTATGGTATGGCATGTTACGCTGAAAAGAATAGAGGGGTGCCTCTACTGGTGGCTACGCCGAACTAATGTGGCTAGCCATCTCTCTTTCTCTCTCTCGTACTATGTGTTGGTTTTACTTGCACAGGACTTATATAGTGAGATTGAGATGAAGTGATTTGTGTTGCCAAAAAATAGAGATGGAAGAGATGTGGAGAGCTTACAAGGAGACAAAAGAGAACTGAGGAATAGGAAGAGGGGAAAGATATAATGCCTGTTGTGAAGATGTTTTGGTCGTTTTTTCTACCTCTTGTAAGGTGTGATTGTAGCATTTCTTTTCTTTTTTTTTTGATCCAAGTGATTACTTGGACCAAATTTACCACTCCAATGTGGGATGCATAAACGAGTTGAACTATAAAAACAAAGTCTAACCAATGGATTTTTACCTTCTTAAGATTAAGGGTTTATGTCTATCGAGCGACAAAAGTGTAGTTAGTTGGTAAGGTGAATGCCAGTTATTTTTTTACAAATTGTATAAGGCTTTGGTGTGGATTCGAATTTCTACAAAAGTGCAGGTTTTGATTGATTAAATTAGTGTATAAATTGAGGGACCGGATCATGTACTTTGAATTTGTCATCGATTTTACTCGAACTCATGAACCTGAGTAATATAGGCATGTCTCTATTCGTCGAGAAAAAATTAGATATTTTTCCCGTTATCCAAAATAAAAACAAAGAATAATATGTAGTTTTGTCTCCAAATCAAAGACACACCGAAAGATGTAATCATACCTCTTTATCTTTTTGTCAATGAAAGTATACCATTTTTCGATAAGATCCGCCTAACTATAACTAGAAGTCAATTGTTCTTATTTAACGAAGATTTACACGAATTTAACAGGATATGAATTCGAATAACTACACAATCTATTAACATGAAAAATATTAGTATCAAAAACAAAATCAGTTGTTTAGTTTGTATTGTAAAAAAAATAGCTTTTTTTGTTTAATGGTATATCAATTCCTTTGTAATTTAAAATAAATAGGGTTAATTGCATTGGTCTCCAATATTTTAAGTACATTATTTTAGTTCCTAAAATATTGAATATGTTTTTATATGGTCTATCAAATAGACAACATCTAAATTGTTAATTTTTTTTTATTATAAACTTGTCACGCAATACATAAATATGGGTAAAAAAAATAATTTTTGACCAAATTTTGGTCAAAAAACTATCAAAATTATACAGTTTTGATCACAAGTTATCCAAATTTTGGTTAAGACCTAATCATATTACGCATTTTTTGTTAAAAACTACACAAATTTTGGTTAAGAGTTTTTCAAATTACTTTTTGTCATATTTAAGTATATCATGTGATAAGTTTATGATAAAAAACTTATCAATAATTTAGATGCTATCTGCTTGAAGGACCACATACAAACATATTTAATGCTTCAGAGACCAAAATGAAGTAATTAAAATATAGAAAACCAAAATAAAACAAATTCTATATTTTATGGACGTACAATACAATTAAGGAGATGGGAGGTGGCAGGGCACTCTATTTGCCAAAACATCAAGGAGATGGCCTGGAGTAGAAAATGCCCAAGTGAAATGAACAAAACTTGGGTTACTCTCATCTCTAAAGTTGAGACCCAACACAGATCACTGAATCCAGACCTATTAATCTTTGTAATGTTCCTTATAAAATCTTGACTGAGTTGTTGGTTTTGAGACTGACATAATCAAAGTAGTTTTATCCCAGGGAGACAAACTATTGGTAATGTTATTATTACTCAAGAAATTATTCATACACTTAGGAGAAAGAAAGGGAGAACAAGGGGAATGGTTATCAAAATTGATTTGGAGAAAGCATACGATAGAATTACCTAGATTTCTTGTATAAAACTCTGATTGATTTTAATTTCCCTCATTCTTGAATTGATATTATCATGAGCTATGTTACACGATCATCCCTTGCTATTCTCTGGAATGGAACGCCTCTTGATCAAATCAAATCTAAAAGAGGATTGGAGCATGAAGATTCTCTTTCACCTTACTTGTTTACTCTTTGTATGGAGAGACTAGGGCAATTATTCCTAGAAAAGATCCTGAAGGGGTGTTGGAGAGGGATTAAAGCTTGTAGAAGAGGACCATAAATTTCTCATTTAATGTTTGTTGATGGTATTATCTTGTTTTCCAGGGATTTAGAGAGAGACTGTCTCATGATTAACATAGTTTTAGAAGAATTTTGGTCTAAAATTTACTTTTCACCCAACCTAAGTAAAAACGATGCACTTTACCTAAGTAGGAAGCGTGTAATTACTTCCACTGAGGATCTAGGAAAATACCTAGGTATTCCAATTATGCATAAAAGATCTTCCAATGACCATCTTAAATTCATAACTGAAAAACTTTAAAATAGACTTAGTGATTGGAAGACAAGAACTCTATTCTTAGCTGGTAAAGCCACACTCGTTAAAGCTGTCACTTCTGCACTCCCTAACTATGTTGTGCAAACTAATTGGCTGCCACAATCAACTTGTGACCAGTTGGATAGGCATAATAGGAGCTTTCTCTGGGGAGACGCACCTGAGAAAAATAAAGTGCACCTTATTAACTAGAACAATGTATGTACCCTTGGGAAGGAGGGCTAGGAATAAGAAAAAATAGGAAAAATAATGTGGCACTATTATCTAAATTGGGTTGGAAATTGAAAAATAAAGAAAAAACCCTTTGGGTTGAAGTTGTCAAGAGTAAATATGTTGATCAGGATGATTCAATCTAGAATACAAAGGCTGTGAGTTATTCCACGTGGAAAGCTATTGTTAAGACTAAAAAATTAGTGGATATGGGTTCACAATGGTTAATTGGGGATGAGTCCCATATTAATTTCTGGTTGACGGGTGAATTGGTAAAGGCCCACTAGTGGATCAAATTAATGTTTCTCTTGCTCTGAATTTTAACAGAAAGGTGGTTGATTTCATTAATGAGTATGGTAATTGGAATCTCTAGGAGACAGGTACACTCTTTTCTCATTCCTCCTACTTTGATACTTTGCATTCCTCTATTCCCCAAGTTTGGTGATTATAAGGATATTATTTGTTGGGGGTATTCAAATAATGGTAAGTTTCAACTAAGACTGTTTTTAAACTATTAACTGGGTCCTCTGATATTAGGTACCCAAACCTTGATTGGAACTGGATCTGAAAATTGAAACTCCCATATAAATTGAAATTCTTCTTATGGCTAATCCCGCATGATTGAGAATTCTCTCTAACAATCTCAGGGCATCAAGGAATATGGCTTATGATGCATCTTGTAGTAGATGTAATGATATGTTAGAATCCACCTTGCATGTTATTCGTGATTGGCCTAAAGCACAAATTATTTGAAAGTTGTTTTTGAATACTCATGAAAAAGGAGATTAACCAATTGGGGATTTGCATTATTGGCTGAAGTTGAATTGTAAAGAGAGAATGGTTAAAGAGTGGAAAGGAGTCAAATGACCTTTAATTTGAATATGTATTGTCTGGAGTATATGGAAATATAGAAATAGGGAGAGCATTTCGAATATCACTTCCCCCCTCCCCTAAAAAAAAAAAAAATTTATTGCGAGGGAAGTCTGGCTTCTTGCCCTGGACTCCACCAAAGCTTTTCAGGATATTCATTCTGTTGTTAATGGAGTTTTTTCTAATACGATTGAATGATTTTTCCCTTATGTGGGATGAAACAAGCTTAATACGGATAAATGCTCCAAAGGAATTCCTGGTCTAGCAAGAGTTGAAGGAATTATCAGAACCGACCAAGGCAAGTGGATAACAAGTTTTTATGGGAGAATGAATGATACAATGTGCATTCAAGCGGAGATTTGAGCTATTTTAAAAGGGCTTGAACTCCTACTAAGGTGATAAATTGCCCATGTCGTTGTGGAAACAAACTCGTTGGAAGTTGTTAAGATGCTTTCTTCTGATCCAGACGAGACCCATCAAAACAGGGTCATTATCAAGAGTAGCAGGAATATGATGGAAATTAACCACATCCCATTTTCCACACATTCTGAGAAGAAAACCAATGTACAAACATACTGGCAAACCTTGGTGTCCAACAAATACAGGCATTTGTGGAGCCTCAAATCCACCGCCCAATATTTCAAATGTTTTTGAGGCTGATATGGCCTATTTAAATTAGGTCTTTTAACTTTTCCATGCATAAAAAAATAATAATAATAAATAAATATTGACGCAAACCCGCCGCGAAAAATAACAGAAAACGACTAGGCCGCCCGATATTGAAACCCTAAATAAGTTGAGTCCGTCTGGGCAGTGGATATGGAAATGGGGATGAGATCTCTGAACCCCAGCAATGGCCGTGGAGGCGAATCAGCGCTTCTACTTCTCATCTCTCTCTTCATTAGACAAACTCTCTCTCTCTCTCTCTCTCGTCTGGACTAGATTACAGGCTCAGAGACCCGCGTTTTGGGGGGCGAACGAGCCGCTCGCCACCAATCCTCCAACAATGACGCTACTAAGCTCCTCGTCTTCCATATATACTTCTAAATTTAGCAGCGATCTCTTGAAACCCCCCTAATGGTCGGACGAACACAAGGCCTGGAAGGTCCCTTCCCCTTCCTCCAAAAATAGTAAACAAACAGAGAAACCGGAAGTTGATGCTGCACTGTATTTTGGAATTCGATCGCAGAGTGGTTCGGTCATCCCCCCAATTTCCATTCGTTCTTCCAATTTTTTGGTGTTCATGGCGTTATAATCATCATCAACAGCTGCGACAACTAGTTCTTCTTATCGTCGTCATCATCATCATTAGACGGCCAAATTTTTTAGGCGGAGCGATGCTTGTCCAGCTTTCATTTTTGAATTAATTTGGAATGGTCTAAAGAAGAAGAAAATGGCCCCTCTTAGTTTGAATCATAAATATGTCAGAGGAATTTGCACTATAATCTTTGGGTTTGTCCTGAGCTCCACCACCGTTACCGTGGTTCACTCCAAAACCGACGCTCCCGACGGTACTCTCTCTCTCTCTCTGTATGTGTGTGTGGTGTTATCTATGTAACGTTCCGTTTCTTTACTTGCAAATGTCTCTAACCGTTTCTTTGCCTGGCAATGGCATCCGTGGGTGTTTTGGAAGGCAACGTAGCTGGTATTTTACTTAATAATTTGGTTTGTAATAACGAGTTCAAGCTTAATTTGTTCGGGTTCAACTCATGTTTAGGTTAAAGCTCAACTCAACTCAAGATCAAGATTGGTTCATCTTGCGCTTTGTCAAATGATTCTAATTCAATCCTGAACAATTTTGTATATTTTGATTTATTCATAAAAAGTTTCAAACAGGTCTAGACTTTGAGTTTTCTATGACATTGTTAATTAAGATGTACTCACTGAGCTGGCACTGGTGGTGCTTGGTTCGTTTATCAAGCAAGCCCTCTACTTTGAGCTTGAGCTCATTCACTAAACAAATATATTTGAATGAGTCACAGTTTGAGCTGAATGCGAGCTGTCCATGGACTCCTTAGAATTTATATCATTTGCAGCCGTAGTCCAGCTCCATACTTGTAACCTTAGATCTCTCCCCACCCCTCAACTTAGCTCAATTATGTTGTATCTCGGCTATTTAGGATTGGCTACTGGAATTCTATTCATCTATTGTGCTCTATCAAATGCTATATTTTCCATTAAATCGCAAGATGTCATATCTATTTTTATTATATCCTTTAAAGCTCATTTCAGTTTACCTCTAGCTATTGTATTGCCTTGTGCAGTTATAAGTCTTTTAATACATGACCAAATAACCTGGACCATTTCCCTCTTAATTTATCTTCTATTATTTCTACTTCTACCGTTATCTTCTCATTCATAGTTCTTTCCTTCTTGATTTTTCCACACATCCATCTTAAAACCTTCTCCCAACCCACCACCAACCAAAAATAGAAGAAAATAAAATGATGGAGAGCAAAAATGAGGGGCAGAAACTTTGTGTTAGTCATAGCTATGGATTTTGTTCCTATTGCTGATAATACTGCCTTCTTTATTTTGACCACTGTCTATTTGGTTAATGATTTTGCAATAGTTGTAGACACTACTATATGTCTAGTTCAACCTATTTGACATCAATGGGTCATCAGGAAGCAGGTTCTTGATAAGTATTGTGATTCCAAATGCTCCACTTTATTTTTGCTGCTTTTTTTGCTGCTTTGTCTATGAAGAGATGGTTTTCCAAACTGCTTTATTATTGTGTAAGAAATTGATTTCCTTCATCACTTTCTTTCCCTTGCTGGTGACAATCCTGTGTATGAATTTGTTTAGACTCTGAAAAATATTGTTGGTTATAGACTATGCTGCCACCGTCTTGTTGCTGCCGTGATTTTGACGTGTGGTAATTGTCTCTGCAGTTTCTGCTCTCAATGTTATGTATAGCAGCTTGAATTCTCCTTCAGAATTGGATAATTGGAAATCAAGTGGAGGCGACCCTTGTGGCCAATCCTGGAAAGGAATTAAATGCTCAGGCTCATCTGTAACTGAAATGTATCGATGCTTTTTTTCTTCTTTCTTTTTGTTCTTTTTTCTCACACTTGCATGTATCACAGATCTATGTAGTGAATCATACAAGCGTGCTTGGTCGTCCCATTCATATTTTGCCGCGTAATTGTCTGATTATTCAAAAATGTTTGCAGTGATTTGTCCGGCTTGGGACTCAGTGGATCAATGGGCTACCAGCTTTCAAGCTTGACATCTGTCACCTACTTGTGAGTCTCAGCCTTCTAATATAGGAAGTTATAAACAATTGTGTGTTTTTTTTCTTCTGAAAAACTTCACCTCAAGATTGTGAATTTGTTTGTCATAGTACAGTGACTTAAGCAAAAACAACCTCAAGGGTGATATTCCTTATCAACTGCCTCCTAATTCACGTAAGATGTAAGTTCGTAATAAAACAATTTTGACACTAACCCCATAGAGTTGCTAGTGTTCTTCTATAAACAGATTTCAGCATGTATTATAATATGAGGTGCTTATGCAGAGATCTTTCTGGGAATGGTTTGACTGGTAGCGTGCCTTATTCAATTTCTCAGATGAAGGACCTAAAATACCTGTAAGCATTTGTTCGCTTTTGGATTCGTAATTGGCCGTGCAACTTGGTTTAGATTTTGTTGGTGGGTGCAGAAATCTTAATCATAATCAGCTCAAAGGACAGTTGAGTGATATGTTTGGACAGCTTTCTAAACTCAATGAGCTGTAAGTATTTGATCTTAGCAGCGAAGTCTTTTTTGCATCCTCTTGCGTGTTAGTGATTCTTTTTATCTTTCTGTTTTCGTTTGTGGTACATTTTTGCAACCTCTTGTGAGTTAGTAATACATTTCAGATAGTTCATATTCTAGTTTTTGCTTCTTTTTGTTTGTATTTGTTGTAAAATATATCTGAAATATGATATACATCTTTTTAATAACACGACATATAAATTCCCCATAGGAAAGCTACCAAATGCACCATAGATATCACGGACTATTTAAGCTGTCCTTCACCTCATTTATCCCCCCCAAAAAGCCTCCTCCTTCACCTCAAATGCTAATTAAACAAACTATCACTTCCGGGAATATGCTCTTTATAATACAAAATAATGTAGTTCCAATGGACCTTTCATGCCTTTGGATCAATGTTTTCTGGATTGTGGGACGCTTTGGTACGTGGTACAGGTACGGGTATATGGTACGACACATTCTTAGGTACGTGGTACGATAGGGTAGGTTTAGCTGGTACAGTATTTTGTGTCGCAATTCGTTTTGGAACTATTATGTAGATCGTTTTTACTATTATTCAACATTATATATTACAAAACATTCATAAATACTAAGTTAGTTACTATTTATCTTATAATTGTGCTTGATTTTCTATTTTCTAAAACAATATATAATTATAAATCTATATACATGTTGTCAATTAATATGTATTTTATATTTGTTCTACATGTTCTAAAGTGAATTGATTTAGAGTTAGTATTACAATTTTGGTCGTCAACTTTGGTGATCTGGATCGCGAACCCACCATGTTTTGGGTCAGTGTACCCAGATCGTGGGTCGTTAAGGGTGTAGTGAATTGTGGTAACCATGTTTTTTGGATCTAATTCTTTGGAAGCAAAAGTTTGCATGATGGGTTAAGGAAATAATCTAAACAAAGTTAAACATAAATTTAATAAGTATTTGTAATAACCTATGGAGTGGGTGAGTGTGCATTCAGCTGCATGTAATCAATCAAGATTTTTGCCCTTCCGCTGCTGCATTTGGGCAACCGCATTATAGCATAAGCCTCGACAATAAAGGGGAATACCATGTGAAAAAGCATCAACCTTGACTATAAAGTGGAATACCATCCGAAAGGGTTTCATGCCTTGTAGAGAAATTTAACATCCTCTTTCCTTTTGAATTTACATGGCATACACCACATATCCTAAACAGCCCCCCCACCCCAACAAAAAAAAATAAGAATAAATAAATAACGAGTACCTTTCACCTCTTCAAAAGAATTGTACTAACATTTCTCTCTGTCTGCTTAAATTTCTATGGTATTTTGGAGTGCAATTGAGTACATCAACTAAATTTAATGGGTATCAAAATCAAGGCTGTAATTAGATAAAAAGGCGTTGATCGAAACAACAGATAGTCATTTTATGCTATGAATTTTGTTGGATAACTATAGATTATGAGTTATGTTGACTTCATTGGCCTATTAAAACATATTAATTATGAGTATTTTGTTGGTCTCTCTATTTCTCTCTCTCTTGCGTGCGTGCGTTTTTAGTATCTTATAGTGATACATGCCTATCAAACAGAAAGTTAACTTTTTTGACTGACTCACGAAACTACATTCAGGGATCTCTCCTTCAACTCACTGTCAGGCAATTTACCTCAGAGCTTTAAATCCCTCTCAAGCCTCACCACATTGTAAGAAGCGAGTGCATATACCAATAGAACTTATAATTTCCTTGTTGCTAATGGTGCTTAATGATTTCATGCAGGAATTTGCAAAATAATCAATTTAGTGGATCAGTAAATGTCCTAGCTAACCTCCCTCTTGATGACTTGTAAGTAGGCTTTTGAGTGAAATATTATATTAGCTGGATGCTCCAAATTGTGCAGAAATCTGAATGCTGGACATGATTTAGCATTTTGTTTGACTTGGTTTATCCTTTTCTTGTGCGTAGTATTAAAACCACTCCTCACTGTGAGTTGAAGTGTTGTTTGTCTTCTGCTATTTATTGCTGTTTAGAGACGTTATTATACCTATTATACTGTCATTGTTATGTATAAATACCACGAGGGAGAGGACAACGAGTACATCTGTCGCTCTCTCTTTCCCTCATATCCATTTTTATTTCTTCCCCTTTCTTCTTGTCTCTTCTTTTTCTTCTTCTTTTTTTTCTTTTCAAATCTAAATAATGTAGAGCCAAAAAGACTTATGAGAAAATGTAGACCAAAATCAGTATGGTAACCCAATGGGTAAGAACTGTATTTCATGCCAAACAACAACCTGATTAAGATACATGTGCTTGGCCTACTCATGGTGGGAGTTTGGCTAGACATGAGAGGTTTGTCGATTCTAGTATTGACCTAGTTTCATCTTTTTCTGATGGAGTGAAGTTGGCTGAAGTTGTCTGTGAAAAGGTGTTAAACTCCAGTGTCAGTCTGGGTTGTCACTTGTTCAAAAAAGAGACAACCCAGAAATTTCCATTATGACATAAGATTGGCACATGTATTCATCCAACAAGTTTAACTTCTAAGAACATCTGATTATAAACACAGTTATTATGAATATTTTGGTAAATAAATCAAATCAAAGTTCAAAAGACCAGCTTTCCAAAATTTTCCATTTCTTTCATTTTGTTTCGGTAACATTTTCAAACGTTTTCATGTTTGAGCTAACCGAAACTATGAAATTTTCACCCTTGGATGTAAGACACTTCCACTGTCAATATCAAGATTGCATTTGCACCATTCTGTACTGCACTACCTATGTTGTTACCATGAACGCGACTTCCAAGCCTCACAAATGGAATTATCACTGCCTCTTCTTCTGTATTTTAACTGCTACCACTCCAAGAAAAATGCCATCTCCGCAGGCTATCTCCAGGGCCAACAACATTGCCACTATTGCCACAGCACACTGTAATTCCCAGTACTAGTACCACTGCTGCTACTATTTTTTTTGCCGCTGCCACTATATCATCCACACCATTCTGTTTTCCTGTCACCTCCTAGCTGCTAACACAACTTCCACTGCGAAGTGCTATCTCCATCAAAACTCCTAGGATTGTTTCCAAAGTTTTTTCTGAGGCCTAACCATCATGGCACTTCTTATGGGTTTTTTCATGAATTATTTATTATTTTTAGTTTGGCTGAGGCATAGTTGCGCTGAATGCACCATAATATTCACAATGTACGCCACTGTTCATATTTTCATCCATTTTTCCATAATGCCTAAGAGGTCAAAAACTTCTGCTTGTACTCCTGAATTTGTTTGATAAAGAGTACAGAGAACTGATACTACACATTCATTGAAATTCTGCAGGAATATTGCAAATAACCAATTTACAGGCTGGATTCCTGACGATCTGATGAACATAAACAATATAGAGTTAGTATTTCTTTATTGCTTCAGAATGCAGTTTTACTCGTTGTTGTTCCTATTCTTTCATGCTTTTTCACTGACCGGGCAATTACCTTTTTTCAAGGACTGGGGGAAATTCTTGGTCATCAGGGCCAGCTCCTCCTCCTCCCCCTGGGCAGAAAAGTAGCCCTCATGCCAGTAGGAAATCAAAAAATGGTGATGAGAAGTCTGCCCTTGGTGGACTAGCCATTGTTGGAATATTGTTGGGTGTTTTGGTGGTGCTAGGTATTCTGATTGCTCTTTTCTCTAGAAGATCTTCTTCACCTCCATCACATTTTCTTGAAGAAGATAGGCTTAGCCAGCGTAGACCGTTTACCCCACTCACATCCCAGGAGTTATCTAATGACTTGCGGGCTGAAGTGCACAAGAACTTCCGAGGTAACTCTTTCAGAGGTAAACTCTTTCTCTCTCTGTCTTTTCCCTTGAATATGTGTTGATAATTAAATAACTTAATAGGTCATCATTGGGATAGGTCTACATTTTTTGCACTGTGAGTGAATATTGTAGTCGTGGTCAAAGCAATGAAGCATCACTTATTAAAGTCGATTTATAGAAAAACTAGGCAGTATATGGTCAAATGGAAATCATGGTGTAAGCTGAATTGCAAAATAAAATTCATCTGGGCTTCCGAATATTTTGGACAAGTGTTAGTGTGATGTAAATACATTTTCTTGATAAGAACGGTACAACAAAATTTCACGTTGCTTGTCATTGGTTTTCTAAATGTTTTTGTTTGAGGCACTTCTCCAGTGGCTATGGGAAACTGCAGATATTCTTACTGCTCTATGACTCGTCAATAATATTTTGAATGAGAGATGCAATGGATCTTATGCATTCATGGAAATATCTCTACCAGACACTCTTTCCTTGCCATAAAGTCCTGAATCCTGCTGTAACTAGTGTCTGATTTCACCTGGGTCTTTTCCTAAGAAATGGAACATTGGTTTACTGGATCATATCAGTATTTCTCTGGTAATTTTGTCGGATTTGCATCTGGTGGACCACTGTCCAAAATTTGCCATACTTTTTGGCTGACACTTTCTGTTACTAAAAAAAATGCTGAATCCCATGCCTAAACTGTATAGTCTAATTAGCATGAGGCTTTGGAACATATCCAGTACTAGGATGATACATGGAGTTTGGTGGCCACCTTGTCTTTTAATGGCTTTAGTTCATTGCCAAAGAGGGAAGATACCCCCTTATTACCCACACAAATGGGAAAAAGAGTATGGAATCCGATAGTTACTACTTACTAGTGTTTGATTTTGCCTATGCTGTCACCAAGAGGTAGGCCATTGTTTACATGGAGATTTTTCTTGCCATCCTATTTTCAAATCCATTCTATTCTTGTATTGCCTATCACAACTTTGTTTCCTTCTCTGCGTAATATAGGGTTGTTATGATTTTTGTATGAAATTGTGACTGATTAGACACTACTGATGACAGACCTCAAGTCATCAGACTCGTCTGCTTCTATTACTGTAAAGGCTTTGCATACATCTCCTTCGATGGGTCTTAAGCCCCCACCTTCTGATCGTATCAAATCATTCAACGATAGTGGGTTTGCAAACCATCAGAATGTCAAAAGGAGCAGTTCAATTCGTGTCATGTGTTATTCTTTGGCAGAACTTCAGACTGCAACTGGTAACTTTGCAACAGGTCGCCTTCTTGGTGAGGGATCAATTGGGCGAGCTTATAGAGCTAAATACACTGATGGAAAGGTATAGCTCCTTCCTCAGTTGCATAGTTCACATATCATTTGAAGAATTTGTCTAACCCATGTGATGAACTTTTGCAGGACTATATAGGTACATGTTTGTTTATCCTTTTTGTATATATACCATATAAAAAAGTGTACATGTGGTCTAGATGGTAGAGTTTAACCGCAGGCAGCAGCGCATTCTTTGAGCAATTTCAAACATATTTTACCAGTTTGACTCTCATTTGATGTTCCATGTATAAGTTCATGCTGAGTGCTTTTCCATTTGTCCTTGGTGAAACTGAGAAGTATTAGATGCTTATAAAATCCTCGCAGATTTATCTCTCATCTTTAGTTTTTAGGTATTTGCTTTCTCCTGATGCCTACATCTTAAAGAAATAATGTCACGGGGATAAGGGAACTCATTAATTTCATGGAGCTGCTTTCCGATCTATGAGGTGGAGTAAGTGCTCTCCCATATAGGCATTAAGGCCTTAGGGAACTGAATTCAATGCAACATTAATTATAAAATTAACTACTTAAAAGGTGTTAGACATGCTACCCCAGGTCGTAGGAGAAACAATAAAGCCAATTTATGACTGCAACAGGCATATATTTAATGACTAAATGTGGATGGAACCCAAGACCTCCCAGATCAGAAATCTAGAGCATGTTAAGCTCCCGATTAGTCTAAAACCTTAGGCTGTCACAGGATGGCCCCCACAAGGTATATCAGGCTACTGTAGCTTTGGTTTCAATGGATTTGGGTTCAAGTCTCCCTGTGTCTAGAATGTTCTGTTCATCTGCTTGTCTTTCCATGTGCAAGAGAGGTTCACACTCAAGGGAGGTAACTGAGAGCTTCATATACATTGTTAAACCTATTTCTTTAACGGCTTAAGCTTCTAGAAATATTGGTAGCCTAATTCAGGTGCCATGACAATCTATCAATCTCGAAAGTCTTCTGTTTTGGTTTGGAAGACCCGCAAATTTGTAAGTTCAGAGACTAAACCTTATCAGAAGAAGTCTGGTTAACTTAATGTCCAACTTTTTCTATTTAAGGTTCAATCTGTAGTTGCTTTAAGAATTGAATGAAGCTTTTTGTGTTTCCATCTTAACTGTGGAACTTATATAGTTGACAATGTTTATGCAAAAAAGGTTGTAAATAGGTTAGAGACCTTGGCCTTTATCTTGTATTGAAAACCTCTTTACAAAGTGGCCTTGGAACTAGAGCCTTATGCTGAAGTTGGGGTTACTAGGGTGTAGGTTTCAAATCCCACAATCTACTGCTTGAACAATCAAAGAAAGAAAAAGGAACACGTGCCTTGGAGTTTTGGAGGAATTTGTGGTTTAGTGGTTGAACAGTGGAAATACACACACACAAATGTGAATCCAAGTCTTTGTGTATGATTATCTTGTTTTCAAGTTTTCTTCTTCTTATTTTTAAGGTAAGCAGCTTCTTATTCTGGAATTATTACTGCTGTTGAAGATGTTTAAGTATCATATGGTGGGGCTTTGATGTTTTAGCAGATTTTGTTGTTCACGTAATTCTGTTTATGGTTAATGTATTACATATTTTCCTTTCAAATCTGCTTTGTAGTTATTTTTTGGTCAGAATTCATTTTCCATTGAACTAAATTTGTTCTTAAATGTCTGACTTCTAGTTTTGGCCTTATGTTGCCTAGAGTATGTATCGAATGTTTTTTAGAAAGTTCTTTTATTCATCATTTCTTCTGTCAGATTTTTGTTGTCATTTATGCCGGTGGTTGATGAATAATTCTAATTAGAAGTTTTGACTGTGGGTTGGAAATATTAATGGCTAGATCTATACTATGTTTGATCAGGTTTTAGCGGTAAAGAAGATAGATTCCTCTCTTTTCCAAGGCGAGGGAGGGGTAGATTTTACAGAAATTGTTACGAACATCTCCAAGCTTCACCATCCAAACATTGCTGAAATTGTTGGTTATTGCTCAGAACAGGGACAACATATGTTAGTCTACGAGTACTTCAGGAATGGTTCACTTCATGAATTCCTACACCTGTCAGATAACTTCAGTAAACCACTTACATGGAACACAAGAATCAAAATTGCTCTGGGCACAGCCCGGGCTGTTGAGTAAGATTTATACTAGTCTTTTTGGATCAGTTGATATGGATTGTTTTAAATAGTTCATTAAAACCTACACGAATCTTAAATACTTTTTGTTCATTTTTGTTTGCTGAAATATGCAACCAGGGGTATTTTGGTTTTTTTATACTGTTCTACCCACTTATCAATAACCGCTTAATGTTTTAGAGGTGTGAGTGATCTAGATTTAATACCCCAAGGTTATTCTGTTTAATATCAACGCAGAGAAACAACTGTGATGTTAGTTAATGTTTTTAGTATCTCCATGTCCAGATACCAGTCCTGAAATTGTCAATCTAATATCCTCGACCTAGCAGACTTTGGGTTGATCCATTGGGTAATGAGACCAAAACCTGGCCCAGCCTAGATAATATAGAACTCAGGCATGTAATAATATGCTCTTTTGCGCCCCAGCGGACACTTATTTCCTGGCTAGATCTTCCCAAATTCATGACTGAACATTTCTATGTTTCCTTTCCAATTAGTCGACTTTTTAGGTCACATGTTTACAATGTACACTTTTGAAATAGGCGGTTTCCTTATTGGTTACTCATGAGTCTCTCGTCATTCATGATAGCCTAGCTATTCACTGTTCGGGTGGACCTAGCCTTAAATCCCTTGAATTGTGGAATCAGAGTCCCATTTGGATATTGATTCTCTCATTCTTGTGTTTGCTTGTTTTTTGCTGACTGCTCAGGAGTTGTGCAAACCGAACCATTTGATTGAGGAGACTCCAATTCTAGTCGGCTAGTGCCAGTATCTATTTGGTTGAACCAACGATGGTTCGGTCAGAGGCACTCCGCCTTTGCCATATTGTTCTTTCTTACTTTTGTCATTTGGCCTTGTTAAATGGTCTAATTATACACTGGGATATTCTGAACCCCCTTCACAAATATATTACATTTATTTATTCAAGTATCAGTTCTATTGTTGTATTGATAATCCTCAAGCCCAAGATCCACCTCATTGTTAGCACCATGTTAAATTCCTGAATTGAGTTACTACTAAATTAGGTTAATAAAGTTAATGGGGCATTGGATCAATTGGCTGCCAAAATTACGATGATAGCAGGGTCGTGCATTGGGAATAGTCAAACTTATATTCATGATCAACAGTGATATTACTTATTACACTATTCATCTGCCAATGTTTGTGTATCTAGGTACCTGCATGAGGTTTGTTCCCCATCCTGTGTTCACAAGAACATAAAATCTTCTAATATTTTGCTTGACACCGAACTGAATCCTTGTCTCTCTGACTGTGGCTTGGCATCATTTCATCAGGTACTTTGTTTGCGTGAGTAATAGAGCTCTTTACAAATATTGTTGTTATTATTTCCCGCTATCATTGTAAGTGGAGTATAATTTTCTTCACACTTCAGATTTTGGTTTTCTAGGATATGAGCACAGTTTGCAATCTTCTTCTTGATTTGAAGGCTTGTTTTAGACTCTTTGCTTGTAGGGTTTGCGGAATGTTCGGCTGCTTTGGTTTGAACAAATAGAGTAAAATGGATGGCACAGTATGGATGAAATGTTATGTTCACTGTTTTGCTATTTTGTAGAATATATGGTGAGGGGATAAGAATTTTAAAATGTGTGCAATGCCAGCTATGCTTCATGGTACCAAATTTCTGCACTTACAAAATGTCTAAAAAATTTGAGTGTAGCCACCAACAAGCACTTTAGTTGTCGGTATAGGTACTTGATCTTGCCTGGAAGATCATGGATTGATATGTTTTGGGTATTTTCTCTGTTAGGGAGCCACTAACCTTTACATTGATCAAAGAGGTATGATAGGAGGCGTGCTTTGGGAACTTTGAGAACTCGCAGGTGGCAGTTTGGCACCAATTGAAGGCATAAGCATGGGAAGAAGTCTAGGCCATATTCCAAAAAAAAAAAAAAGAAGAAGATAAAAATCAGTGAATGCCTTATCATGCAGTAGTTTGATTCCGATGCCAAAAGTAAGACAAGGAGACAAAATACTAAAAGGGTTACGACTGGAGTTGTTCAAGATTTACCGGAGGATATGCCACTAGGACACAAGTAATTTGCTATGACGTTGTAAGTTGCCCAAGCGAATAGAAAGGCAGTATCCCTCAAAATGCTACTAGTCTTAAATATCTGTTACTTAAGCAAATAAATGCACTGGAAAACAAAAGAATAACATTTTCTGGACAATATCCGTGTAATTATTTGCATTATGGTCTGTTACTCTGTTATGCTGCAATCTGCATAAAGCTGAGGTATATTTATTATTCTTTGTTTTTAACTGTGAATTTGCACCTTAGGTTGCTGCATTTTCGCAGTAAAGCCATTTTCGGGTCTTGCGTCATACAATTGTGCTTTTAGGATAGTCTCTTGCTCACCAGTCCTTTCCCCCTCCTTTTTTGGAAGGGAGACACTCTTCTCTTTATAATGTTCTAGTTGACATTTTGCCAGCGTACGAGCCAAAACGTGGGTCCTGGATACAATGCTCCAGAATGCACAACATCTTCAGCACATACAGTGAAAAGCGATGTTTATAGTTTTGGCGTGGTCATGTTGGAGTTACTGACAGGTCGAATGCCTTTTGACAGGTGGGACACATTTAGAGTTTCAGTGTTTTAAATTACAAAGATGGTCTGTGCGATGAATAATGCTGTTGCTTATTTTATTTTAGTTTTATTTTGGTATAATTTTGTTTTCAGTTCAATGCCAAGATTTGAGCAATCTCTAGTTCGGTGGGCTACCCCTCAGCTCCATGATATTGATGCATTGGCAAAAATGGTGGATCCTGCCTTGTGTGGCCTGTATCCTCCCAAGTCACTTTCTCGATTTGCTGATGTCATTGCTCTTTGTGTGCAGGTGAGAACATCTCTCTCTCTCTCTCTCTCTCTCTCTCTCTCACACACACATAGACATTAGGCCTCGCTTGGATGTTGTTGGTTTACAATTATCTGTTCCAACATGTTTCTGACATGTGTTGTGATACCATTGTTTTAGTCGGAATTGGAATTTCGGCCACCCATGTCTGAGGTGGTGCAGGCATTAGTGCGGTTAGTTCAAAGATCGAGTATGAGGGAGGATCTGGGTGCTTCTCGTCGATTGGATGACTACGACTATTAGGGGGAAAGAAGAAAAGAAACAAGTATATGCCATAGAGCAGAAACATTTCATAGGAAAGGTTTAATTTCTGTGTTCAATTTTTTCATTCGGACGTATCTGTGTATAGACGTACCTCTGATATAAAACATGAAATATTCTCAACTTTAGTGCTGCATTAGGACCGCAAACTTTTTTGCTTAGAACCAAAAATTTTAGTCAACCACTTGATAAGGGTTTGTTTGGTTCGTGAAACAAGGATCTATACTGCTTTTGGATACAATTTTAGGATCCCTAACATTGCTTCTCTACCAGGGGAGAAGAAGTGGGTAGTTGAAGGGGGAATAGGTCTGTGGACTAACTATCAACTAGCAAACTAACCATTCTAAGAGAGAGAGAGAGAGAGAGAGAAAGCGATAATTTCATCGTTGATTATTGTGTTTATAATGTTTTCGTTTGGATTTCAATGGTATAACTAGTAATGTTGTTTGTCTTGTACAAAACTGATACAAATGATTTATAGGTTTATATTACAATTATGAGTTTAAAAGAAGAATTAATTATTTTTCTACCAACGTTTTAAAAAACAAATTACCCACGAATGGTATTTTGCAAAATTATTTATCAAATTATCAGTATTTTCATGAAAGTGCGTTTTCAAAACATACTTTTGCATTAAATATGTAAATTTTTAAAACACACTTTCATGAAAACTATATTAGAAACTCTTTAAGATTTTGGGGAAAAAAGCATGAAAACAATGGTAAAGGAATAATTAATCCTTTAAAAGACAAACGTCTGAGATGCTTCTCTTTTTTTAAAAAAGCTTGGAATTTGGATTAGAGTGGACATTTTTAACTATAAATTTCATTAATTTTTCAATTGATAAAAACAAAACAATTAGATAAAATAAAGAAAAATATAAGGTACTCTTCTAGGATCTTACATCTCAAAATCTAGGTTCTTTATCAACTCATTGATTATTCATCAACCTGCGGAGTATTTGTGAATTCTGTATAATTCGATACAACATCGTTACACCTTTTTTATCGGGATTGTAACAAAATAGAATCCGAGTAGAGTTTTCTTTGCACAAGAGTACTATTTAGCGAATAACCTAATTACATATTAATCATATGATCATTCTAAGGTCTAACCCCAAATGTAGAACTTAAAATTTGATCATTTACGTCATTCAAAAGAAAGAACTCAAGATGTGAAGGCTCAACAATGTTTAAGTTCAAAATCCAATTTTTGGGAAAAGGTGTCGGCACCTGACAAGACTTTATACTCATGCCTTTTCGAGTAATATTATTTGGAACTAAAAATTTGACTTAATTTAAATGCAAACAAACTCTTATAGCCTATTCGGTTTGGTGGAAAAGTGGGTGAATGAAAAAATGGTGGATAGAAAATGGGATGGAAAATGATATTTTCCTTTGTTTGGTATGAAAGGAAAATTGAGGGGAAAGAAAAATTGGGTGGAAAATATATCCTTTGGGCCCACCATTTTTAATCACTCCACAAATGGGAGAAAAGTGTACGGAAGGAAGTGTGTAGTCCACTTATTTTGTCATTTTTTATATACAAGTGTACCAAATTAGTGGGTCCCACATAAAATTATTAATTTCTTGACTTTTTTATTCATTTTTTTTAACAAATGAATTTTTTTGTCCTTAAAATATATTTATATATAAGGGTAAAATGATAAATTAAATACATGTATCTTTTCTTTCCTTCCACTTTTCCTTTAATACCAAACAATAAAAAATTAATTCTTCAAACTTTTCATTCATCGTACCAAACATAAAGGAGAGATGATGTTTTTCTTTCTGCAAATGATAGAAAGTTTATTCTTCACACTTTTCTATTCTTCCAATTTTTCATTATTCTTACTAAACAGAACATTAAAAAATTAGGAAATGGGAAAGGAAGATTTTTTAGTACACATGTCTCTAATACTCCGTTTGGTTAGGAGAGATGAAAAATTAAAAGAATAGAAAAATATGAGAAATAAACTTTTCATCCTTAGAGGAAAAAAAAACACTCTCCCTCCTTTGTGTTTGGTATGATAAACAAAAAGTTGAAAAAATTAATTTTTTATTGTTTGGTATTAGAGAAAAAGTAAAAAGAACGAAAAAATATATGTATTTAATTTACCATTATACCTTTATGTATAAATATATTTTAAGGGCAAAAAAATTCATTTGTTCAAAAAAAATGAATAAAAAAGTCAAAAAATTAATAATTTAATGTGAGACCCACTAATTTGGTGCACTTGTATATAAAAAATGACAAAATAGGTGGGCTACACGGTTCCTTCCGTACATTTCCCTCCCATTTGTGGAGTGATTAAAAATGGTGCGACAAATGATATGTTTTCCAACAAATTTTTCTTTTCCCTCAATTTTCCTTTCATACCAAACAAAGTAATATGTCATTTTCCATCCCATTTTCCATCCACCCATTTTTCTACCAAACCAAACATGCCATAAGTGGGTTTCATTTCCTAATTTGTTAAGAGTTTGTATTGCATTCAAATGATGGTGGTTATGTATATAGAACGAACACCAAGATAAATCCAAAAGCAAGAGGGAAAGAAGATAATTACGAGACACAGAGAAGGGGCCCGGGAGGCAAAGAAATCTTTGGAACGACAAGGTTCGACATGCCGACGATGCCCATGGTGATTGAGATATTTGAGTGACGAATGGGTTGTTTTATGGGATAGTGTGCCAGAGAGACAGAAAGAGAGAGTGGTACCGGTGGGGTAGGGTTAGCTGAAGGATATAAAACAAGGAGAGATAAGGTCTTTTATTGTTGTTTCATATATAGAGAGAGAGGGGGCTGGTAGGACTTGACCGTTAAATAGTCTGAAGATCGTAGAGTCGACTATCTTTTTGCAGTTGGAACTATTAGTCCAACCCGTTATTATTATTATTATTATTATTTTTAATTTTTTTTAGAGAGATTAAAGGAGATTTAAATTTTTGATTTCAAAAAAATAAAATTTTCATAAAATAAAAAATATTATTGAACTAAAGGCCATCGACAAATCCAACTCTCTATTACAACGTTGAGCTGGCTTCCAAAGGGCTCGAGCCAAATGAGATCTTTTAGCCATTGTATTGCAAATATAGGTGTCTAATACCTTTAGAAATGACAAAGAAAGATTTTTTAGTACATGTGCTTCATATCTTAATTTCTTAGAATTCAAAATTTTTTAATTAAAAATTTAAGGTTTGTTTCAATCAAATCATTTGTAATTATTCATCAATTCTTCAATAATTAACCACTATTTTTTAAAATTTATTCAAAAAAAATTATTTTTTATCACTCAAAAATTTAATATAATTATTTATTTAACTTCCTAATTGATAAAAAAAACATGAAGTGCATCGCATGGGATGGATTACTTTTATTTTTTTTTAATTCAATAATCAAGAATGTCAAGAGACTCTCACCTCTCGTTATATTCCTAACGAAAGACTATCACCTCTAATTTGTCTTTGTGCAGCCCACAAATTAATAATGCGACAATTTTTTTATCAAGTACACAAAGACACTCTGATATGATTTGTGTCAGTCAGCAAATATTTTCTAGATTTGATGTTGAGTTCTATCAACAGGTTAGTCTAGCAGGGGAGAAGAAGAGGGGTAGTTGTAGGGCAAGTAGGTCAGTTGAAGAACTACACCAACCATTCTATGAGAGAGAGAGAGAGAGAGAATTTCTAACGACAAAAGCTTGTTTTGGCAAACAAGTTACCATAGTCTTGATTTGGGAAAATCTGATATTATCGGTCATCACTTTTTATAACAAAGTTATAATTTATAAAGAAAAAATTATAATTGCTCCAAAAAAGGTCATGATCAATCACATATACTCATGATCGATCATGAAATTTTGGTAATAATTCTAACATTTCATGATTATTCGTATCATTTAAAATTATAATTTACACATCAAAAAAATTATAATTTTATAATTATGAGTAATTTGATTCAACCATTGTGTTTATTCTCTCTCTCTCTTCTTGGTTGTGAGAGCTTCCAGGCCAAGACTGGGTATAAAGTTTGGGAAAATATTACACAATTCAAATAAAATTAAAAAATTATAATTCAAATATAATAGTTGATGGCTCCTACATAAAAAGTTGATAGGACTCTTACTCATTCCAAGGGTGGATGCAGTAAAAGGCCGGAGAGAAACCTAATTTATTAACTTAATTTATTGACCTAATTCACTGTAACTTTTAAATTGATTGTAGACCCTATCAAATACTAGAATTTGGTATTTATCCAATAATTTCTATGAAATCACATCATGAATCAATAAATTAGATCCAATTTTTAGATTCAAATAATATATACAAAAATTTATTACCTACGAATAGTAATATGTATTTTGTATATCTTTCAGGTACTTTTGCATTGGGCTCACCCTCGAGTCGTCACAAAAGAAAGGTTTTTTAGGTGTAGGTATAATTTTTAATACTTATTTGAGCAAAAGGTAATGGGTAAATGATTTATTCTATTAAGTACAATTTTTATAAATTTTTTTATGTTTAGGTACAAAATTCAAATGAATTAAAATCTTTTTTACTTAAACACCCTTCCTTATTTTATGCAGTTATGATTGACAGTTATTTTAGGAAACAAATATTTAAAGATTACATATTTGTTATCTTCTTAATTTTTGAATTTTGAATGAACAATTTTGCCAGAGATTTATGCATCTATTGACGGTTATTTTATGAAACAAATATGTAATATTTACATATTTGTTATCTTTATTTTTTTGAATCAAACGTATGTGTTCAACTGATAAGTTTTCTTCAAAATGTTCAACTGATAAGTCTTCTTTAACGACAATTTACTTATCCGGTGGTGGATTTATTCGAAAAAAAGAACTGCAAATACCAATCACCGTCATCGGCTTAAAGATTAGTTGCTAATAATTATATTTCTTCTTTTATTTTGTCATTTTTTTTTTGAAAAATTTCTATGTTCGATTTTGTTTTATATTTGTTCCATGTTGAAATGAAGGTGAAAAAAAACTGCATTTGGTTTTAATGGGTGTAACTATTTTTTCTTATAGACATAAGAAGTATATTTCTTCTTTTATTCGGTCATTTTTTTTCGGAAATGACTATTTTCAATTTTGTTTTATATTTGTTTGTTGTTGGAATGAAGGAGAAAAAAAAAACTACTTTTAATTTTAACGGGTGTAACTGTTTTTAATGGATGTAACTATTT